ATTCCACGTTTCCACATCTGGTACTAGCTTGATTATTTGATTATAAAACACGGGGATATTGTAAGATGTAAAACTTGGTATTAGAGAATGATCAATAACATAGGACTACATTGACATATAAATATTCCATTAATTCATGGCATTGATGTACAACAAATCACAGTGACTGATAATGCATAAAATGTCTTCATTGTCACAATAGTGTGGCTACAGATGAAGAGATTCATAAATGCTAAGGTTCTGGAGAAGAATGAGATAATAGGATGGAATCTAGCTTAATTAATTCTGGAACTAACACTCATTTTCTCACTAAAGCAAAAGGTTAGGTTATAAGAGTGTTATATGATAAATGATTGTCTTATAATAGTTAGAAAATTACTGAAGACAAGTCTTTGAAATTGACCAGTCTACAATCATGATTTTATTTTATTTTTATACGACTATTTGACCAAGTGTTTACAAATGGGTTTAATCTATCAATAACAAGCTTGGCTTCACTGCCAACATAATGCAACCAGAAAAAACAAATTATTTTTATGTGTAATCAAAGAATATCAAGCTTTGGACCATGGAAGCAGCTAATAACATTCTCCCACTTATTTGTGACATCTTCATAGAAGAATAGCTGTATGAGTGCTTTGACTATTATCATTTCTGCTGGTATGTTTTAATTACAACCAAACAACATTGTCATATAAAATATAATAGCTGCTATGAAAAATGTCTTAAAATGACTTGTGCTGTTATACATGCTAATAGTTGTTGCTGTTTTTTTATTCATTTCCATTGCTTTTTGGAATCTACTATTGCAATCTACATCAAAATATTAATATTAAATCCTCACCAAAGCCATAACAACAGGACCTCAAGCTTTTTTTGATTATTAGAATGTTTTAAATCATCCTCAAATAAGAATAAATATCAATGGTAGATTTTGCTATAACATTTTTAAAAGTGCTGAAAAAACTGTCCTTTCCTCTGAAATGTTCGGACAAGAAACAAAAAACAATTCATAAAAAATCTGTAGACAGACCAAACATTTCATAAAAATAAAAGTGTTATATGTAACTTTCTCAGTAAGAGTTATTGGATTGGTAGAATGAAGTATTTATATAATAGATTTTTCATTTTAATAGATATTCATTACACATACCAATTTCAATTTAAAGTTGTGTACATAGTCGGAATTGCTGGTTAACATATCATATTAAATCAATGCCAATGAAAATTGTCAGTTTCAATAAGATGATGGAGATTATCTCCCTTGCAAGACGAGAATTTTTCAATCGATGAAGCTTGAAATTGATTTGGGTTCCACTTTAATCAATATAACCATTAGAGGTCTTAATATTATCATCGTTTTCTACCAGCTGAATGGAGATGCTGGAGGCAATACCAGCCACAGAATTACACTATTAACCCTCTCTTATAAACACTAATACAACTGGCCTCACCAATGTAAAGAAGGCTGGAATTTCTCCAATATGTGTGTGTGCTTTTAGCTAATTTTCTGTCTAATTGTAAGATTATTGGCAAGACATTCATGTTCTTTTCTAAAGTCTTATTGAATAAAAGAGATCAATGTCATTTATTCTCGAGACTTAGTTCATGTTCAACAATAATAACATTGGCAAGTTCTACCAGCTTCTAATGTACAATTCAATTTAATTCTGGTACAGTACAGAGAACATTGATATATTCTAGCACAATTCAACTAAACACTGTAGCCAATCTTGTAAAGTGAAAAACTTCATTTTATTATCTTGAGTAAAATAATATTAAATGAATCCAGACGGATTCACAATATATGGTCTAAATACCTATAAACACAAGAAATACACTTTAAATAGCAATAAATACCAAATTGCTCCATCACACTTGGCTTGGAGAAGAAAATTTGTTGAAAGGATTGTTTGGAATTATTTTCATTCAGAAACAAACAGCTTAAAGGTATTAAGTCCCTTAAATATTCAACAGTGTTGGCAAGCTGATTTAGATTAAGACATTTTACAAAATTTTGTTTATTTTAACTGACATCAGGGAATACAAGTCATAACCAAATTCTTTCACTAACTGAACAATACAAAAATATATTCCATGTCATCAATAAAGTTATAATTACTGTACATCTTACTTATTTTTTAGGGGCAGGGTGACTGGCAAGAAATAATGTTGAAATTTACAGTATATATTGAGATATTCATAATAAAGATGGAAATGTTAAGGCTTTCGTGTCACTAAAATAAAGATCAGCTTACAAGTTTTCTATTGTATATAAGACATCTGACAGATGAATAATGATTTAGTTCAACAATTCAATTTAAAACTGTAAGAGAAAAAGCAGAAGTCTGGCATATAATCTGAAATAAGTAAATGTCATCGGACTGTGTTTTTCTGTTATTACCAATCAATATTTCTTGAAGAAATTTCAAGTACAAGTATATCTTTTTCTTGTTTTATAGGTCAGTTTCTTTAAACAAATTGAGATCTTCTGCAGAACTATTTGAAGGGCAGTCCCAGAACAGGCTATAAGGTGTCAAGTCAAATATGTTGCATTTTTGGGTGAAACAGAAGGAAGCTGCTAAGACAAAGGCAATAACTCAGAAATCACAAAAAATCTCATCTAATATATACAAAAGCATGCTAAGTTTCATCAAAACTGTAGACTTAACAGTAATAGTGTTCACAAAACACTGACATAATGTGGCTGAGACAAGGGTGACAAATTGCAAATATCAAACTAGTCTGAAATCTTACAGATATACGCATCATACTAAGTTTTGATTGAACTGTATTGATGTACTGGCAGTGGAACAACAATATACATCCTCATTATAAAAAATAATGTGGGCATATAAAAGCAATAAGATTGTCTCAAAATGGTAACCTCAAAATACTTACAAAGTATTATGAAAATCGGTTGAAAAGTTACTGCATTTTCATTGTTCAAGGTTAAGAACATAAAAGTCTGATTTCAAAATTGCCCAAAAAATTCCTATTTCAATGCAATGTAAAGCAGTTAAACTTATGAAGCTGTAGCATTTCTAATATTCATGGATATAGGTTATAACTCTGTATTCAATTATTTTGAAGATTGAGCATTCTAGCTTGACCTTCTAGATTATTGGTTTCTGTTTCAAGGACAAGAGTAATAACTTCATTTCTAGCCATATTAAAGATGGAGTCTTTCATTTTTGTTTCCAATCCATTGTTGTGTGTCAAATATAAATCGATTGGCCGGTTATCCTAACGACTTCCGAGTACAAGGGTTAATCTGTGCGATCCCTAATTAACTTATTACCGAGGGAATCCCCGTGTTTACATTTCCAATAGTCCCGATTTCCAATGTTTAATTTGATTGGCTATTATTTTGAAAAGAATGCGCGCAAGCGCATCAAAAAAGACAATCATAACAAAGAAAATTCTGTCACTTACAACAATGGCGGCAATTATATTTTGGTATTCGGTTTTCTATCTCTAATGCCAGTGCAAAATATGTTTCCATTTGTTCAAGATGAATAATTGTAATCATTTTAAGTATATTCTTACTTACCATATTGCTTTTCTCCTTTCGAATTACGAAAATGTGGATAAACTCTTCAATTTAAATCAGAAATTATCATGTCACGTGATCTCTAGCTATGACGCCATTACCTCATTCCAGAAGGTAAATAGACCAAGGGCTTCCCTGAGCTTGACGAAGCCTTTGTGTGGTTGATTGACAAACTAATGTTTGGATTAACCACTAGAAGGGCCAATCCATGGACAAGCTCTTTTAATCTCTTTTGGACTACTTTTGATCAAGAAAACCCATCTTTAAAGGGCTGAACATCACACAAAGTCTACTTGTTTAGATTGTATATCCAGGTATTTTTTATTATCAAAATCGGTTGAAAAATAAATTCTAGAGAGTTGGACAAGGATGTATACAATATAAACACAAGATATGGGCGTATAATAAAACTGTTATGGTTGTTCTACAAACATTTACTTTAATTATATGAACTGGCCAACTTTACCTTATGTGTAAGCTTACTATGTGTAATCTGAAGATTACTAGAAAACTTGTGTTATTGTATGTTTTCTCTGTTTAGTCTGAGATAAGTAAAATGTCAAATTGAATCCTTTTAAATATCTTAACATTCCTTACAATGTCTAACATCATGATGAAGTTAGAGGACTGTAATAATATAACTCATCTCTTCACAACATGTTGTATAAAATATATCTTTCAATTTATGATTAAATGCGCAGAACTCGTAGTGTTACCTAAGTATTTAATTTTATTATATGTTAATGAATAGCAGTTCAATTATAAAATTGCCAGATATTATTTTAGCACGGGTAATATTTGCACTTTGACATTGGGAATGCATGTTGAAAATATGAAGAACCAAAGACCAGAACTAAACAATAAAAAGCAAGATGTGTCTTCCTTGCTGAAATACCTGCTAAGGAGCTTACATATAAATGAATTCAAAATAAAACTTTCAAGAAACTATAATTGCAAAGCAATTTTGAAAATTTATATCTACAGTCAACCAGAATACCTTGCATTCCAATCACTAGAGTGACCTCCCTTTAGTACAGAAATACATAGAAGAAATAAATAATTCTGTTTTGAGCATGAACCAAGGTCTTTGTGAGAATATTGACACTATAGAGAGCTTTATTTCATGGCTACAGAAAAATATCACTGTGTCTTTCTTTTCCCACACCATTTTATCTTTAAAATTGCTGCGTTGCATGATAAATTCAGCACTTGGATTCCTTTAAGTTCATTAAAAACTTGTCATGTAGTATAAAATAATCAAAAGAGGAAAAAAAAACCTACTGTTTTACAGGAAGTGCATGCTGTTGATTTGTTAATCATGTGACATGTCAGTAACTGCTAATGGAAATCTGTCATTCATGTCCAATTCCTTTTATTCAATTTAAGTGCTTAAATGTTGTTCTGTTATTGAATTTGTTCACTGTAGTGTTAAGTATAAAATATTGACTTACTTGGCAGCTATTCCACCAGGTTGGATATCTTGAACAAAGATACCTAATTCACCTTTATCTTCTCTTTTCAAACCAACAACACTAAAACCTAGTGAACTATTATCTGGTTTAAATAGCTTTATTGTTTCAATTTCTCTGTCTTTAGCAGATTTCTCTATGGCACGTTGAAATTCGATATTATAATTGTACGTAGATATGGCATTGTTTTGATATGCTTGGCGTAGGTTTAATGTAGCTGTGTCACTATTGATATCATCATCACTATATCTGTGACCATAGCTGGGATGGAGATGAAGTTCCCCAGAGGAAGAAAAGTCAAAACTATCTTCAGTAATTGGTTGTGTTTCTGAAACTTCTTTTAATTTATGTAATGATTTTTGTAAAGTCAGCAGTTGATGAAACAAAGGACTTTTTAACATACATAAAATTGACGAGAGTTCATCATCTTTATGGAAATCTCCCTGTTCTTGTAAACTAGCTTTTAATCTATCAACTATATCAGCAGCTTGTTCACAATCTAAAAAATATAAATTTCCTGTTGTTATTACTTTTCAACACAAGTTTAATTAAAAATAGAGTTATGAGTTGACCTTTATTGCGAAATCAACAAATTTTAAATTGTTTCAAAAATGTTATCGCCAATCATTCCATGATAAAATACATATCGCGATGCAAAGTCACAATATGATATGTATTGTGTAATGGGGTATAGGATTAAATTTAACATTTTATCTTCAAAGTTTCAATATTAATTAATTTATAACTGTGATATTTAGTGATTCCATTCACCGACTTATAAAAATCCCCACCATTTTACGAAATGAGAGGTATCCTCATGTATGGATACAAGACCTTACGATACTATCATTTCATGTTGTATTGTGATATCGATTAAAGGATATATCGTGCCAGCACTTACAGATGTACCAACAATGTACTTAATCATATTTAAGATTGCTTACCTGCTACTAGAGACATCTTATAACTTCTATAATATTGACATCATAAGCATAAGTCTGAAAAACACCATTTCTTATCATATCAGCTGCAGAATGTAGTGCAGTCAAACTTGTAAAAAGCCTGGGGAATGGTTAAATTTTGAAGCATACAAGTGCCTGATATTCTAATATAAAATAAGTAACCCATACTTCAGATAATGAAATAAATATAATCAAATAGATAAATAAATGGGTTGTATTTGCTAGTATGTACATTCCAATCCAATTTCTGTACTTTGGCGATACAAAAAAAGTGCTCAATGATGTCAAGGTATTAGACAAGAGGCAGTTGTAATAGCTTGACATTGTGAAGATTATCATTGAATGAACTCCATTTTATAAAAAAAGTATACAAGAAATTCCACTAAACCTATTTTTTTAGTTCTTTTAAAGGGACAGATAGGCAAAAAAAAAAAACATAAGTGTTCCCATTGTGTCCTATCTTATCCGTACCGTTGTTAGCAGCCAAAGAGAACACGCATCATGATTGTGCAAATAGCCAGTGTGTATAGCAATAGTGACTAAAATTCCTAGTTTGAAGTATTTTAAAGGAATTATGTGATTATCATACATTTCTAGTACTTTTGAAAAATATTTACATATTTCGAGACTAAAATCAACCCCCCAAAATGGCCAACCTGTCCCTTTAAATGAGTCCAAACCAAATTAAATAAGGTCTAAGTTTGGTGCAAATTTGTTTGTATATTCTTAGTTAATTATGATATTTTTGCATTTTGATAATCCATATCAGTAGCCTTAGACTTTACATCGTATTCAGTATGATTTGAAAAAGCCTTGATGTCATATCATAACTTCGTTCGAAAACGCCCAAAGTTTATCATCACTGACACTGTTGACATTCCTTTGCACTGACAGTGACAGTATCAGTGATATGACCCACATACAACAGGTGGTTGAACACCTTCACAAAAACAGCATGAAAAGATCAAAACTATAGGTTTTGTTGTCATTGCACCATATCTTTTTTATACACTTCTATAGGCACTCAATAACAACGATTTTCAACATTTTATAGTAGAGTTTCATATCTTTTCGTACTTACCAAAATAGATAAACACAACTTCTTCAGTCCAAGGGGCTTGTGGGAATGACTTTAAACCACCGACAATTACAACAAAATCAACGACATAATATTGACTTTTATAGCTTATACTAAAATTTTAAAAATTATAGTCTGTATTGCAAACTGCCCTACTTAAGGTTGCCTTAATGACTAAATAAGCTCTACATTTACATATTTCGTTGAATGAGATGCAGGAAAATTAGTAGACACGCACTCGGTAACATATAAAGACATATATACTATTCACACAATTCTTCCGTATGTTTAAATCAGCAATTTGTACGATAAAGGGAGAAAACTCTTTTAAAATATTACAAATAATTTTGTGGTCCTTCATGACACGGACTGGGTTGAAATATTTGGCTGTGAAATAAAAGTGAAATAGGGTTTTTAGACTACGTTTCTGTAACTTGTTGGGCAAAGCTATACAGTGCGCAATAAGGGAATTTTGCATGGACAATGGCTTTGGCCTACTATTTTTTAATTTAAACTGTCAAGGATCTTGAACTCTTTCCAGCTCTGTTCAGCTTGCATAACTGACATAAGAAAACAGATTAAAAAATCTGAAGTTAATATCTGGACCCCTGCCAGGAATAAACCCTGGACCTTAAGGTTGGAAAGTATGTGTTTAACTCACTGAACCACAGTGGTTCCCAAATACATTTGATATAGGACCTAACACTTAACAACACAGACAAGTTTTAGACTAAGTAATACTATATGCTTCCATAGGTAGCAGTAATAAATGACAAGACATCAGTCTGCAATTTGTTTTTGATAGTATGATATACCTTTAATCTTGACTTAAATTACATTATTTAATGAGAAATATTTTACCAACATAAAATTCAAGGCAAAATGATATAGAATAATCTAAAATATGAGATTACATAGGCTACTGGACAAAATCATATTTTATTACATGGATCCTGATGTAATTATCAATAACATTACCTGTTGACTGTAATGAATGAAAATAAGATAAAAGTGATCTATCAGAACGGTTTATTTTAGTAGGTTGAGAAAGTTAGGTTTTTAAATTAATGAAAATTGTAGTTAAACTAATAATAAATAATCACTTCCCAATCGAAAGTCACAGATATCTGCCAATGATTTAAAAAGCCAGTCATATTGTTTTGTGTTGATTAAGAAAATATGAATTTGCATTTTGTGCTGAGTGTTGACTTACATTGTAATTACCTGCATCAAAACTATCATAATGAACAAATCAACTATGAAAGTAATTTTTAAATCCTTTAATCGTGTACATTTTAAATGTATTCTATAAGCCACAATAAATGTGACATGTTTCAATTATTAAACAATGACATTGATTAAGCCTCTCCGATTATTTCGATCAATCGATTATTATTTTCTTGCGATTTGCCTTTAATCTATGTCACTGCAATTTAAAAGGTAAGCTTATTTTTTAAAGTTGCTATGATTTTAGCAAAATAAACACAAATTATAGACAATTAGAACCTTTTATAACAAATTCAAGTTGATCAAGTAGATACATAGAAATAAATAGCATATTTCAGAAATTTTTTTACACATAAGCTTATAATTTACAACATTTTTAAGAATGAAAGTTTTTCATAAAAATAGCAGAAAAACATTCCTTTTTTTAAATTATTGTGTCCAACTTGCTAACACATTGAAGACAGGTTTTTATTAGCATTTCTCTTTGGCTGACCACCTGCTTATGAAAACAGACGAGAAAATCACAAAATGCCTCTATGGACAACTACTGACTGGACATGGAAATGCTGAGAAATATGTGATAAATTTTAGAGCAGATATTTGACTGAGTAATATTTTCTAAAGCACCTTAATACTTGTGGATGGACAAACATGACAGAATGCAAACTTCACTTTGGAACAGCTAATCCTTTAGCACTAATAGCAGCATTAACTGCATAATTCATTAAATCACTGTCATCTACCAGTTCATTTTCCAGTTCAGCTTGAACCAGAGGTGTATCAATATTTTCATGTCCATTATCGTCAATCACATTGATATCATTTGCTACATGCTCAATATGAGCATTACTGTCCTCTAACACTGAATCACCAAATATTTCAGACTGGTCATAATAATTATCAACATCAGATTCAAAGTCATTGTCAGAAGAATCTATCACTGAAACATTTCCATCAGGTGGTTGATTTGGACCTTGATTAGAATTAAGTGTCAATTGAAATGCTTGGTTTGGAATTGGATTGTCATCATTTACTAATGTCTCACTACCTCCCTGACTGTTGGATTGAAGAGTTCTAATGGCTAACTCATCAGTCCATTCTAGCGGTGTTTCCGATCCATCATCTGGATTGCGTGCAGTTTGACGTATAGTGATAAAAAGTCTCATGTTATTTAACCTGTCGGCAAAAACACGATCTGACACCTGTGTTAACTGGTGTAGTAAAGGTGTTATGGTTCCTTGAAGTGCATCTTGATCTTCGTTTTCTTGAGGAAATAATCCACGTCGCCGAATAGCTTCACTAATACTTTCATCTTCTACATGAAGACGATCTAATATAGGCAAATTGTGATCCAAATCAGGTGTCAAACCCATTTCTTCTAAAGTCATATTAATTGCATTGTCAACGATAGCTTTTGCTTTTTGTTGACTCTGCCAGCGAGAAACATAGTCTAATCTAGGTGCAGCAGCCCTATCATTCACAACATCTGGAATTTCAGGCTGATCATCAGAATTATGAGAAATGTCTGGTATAGTCTCAGAAGGCCCTGAAAACAATCTGTTACTAGCATTTGATGTTGAAGCACTAACATTATTGGTTTCATCTAAATGATTATTATTAATCGCAGGTTCTACTAAAACAGAACCTAAACAGTCAATATTTTCGTCATTTGTCTCAGACACCATAGTTTTAACAATTTGTTGTGTTTGGCCATTTACAAATTTCCTCACTTTGTTCAGTATCTTAAATTCTGTACTACCATTGTTATTTTGTTCTAATAGGGTATCTTCATCACTATCTATATCAATGCTATTTGACAGAATGTTCTCGTCATTATTCAAATGTGATTGATTGTCATTGCACAAAGTATTTTCAACACTATGACTAGGGTTTCCATTCTCATCTTCACTGGCACACCTTCTGTTACGACTTTTTGAATTTTTAACTTGCCAATGATATCGAGCTTTCTTTAGTGGTGGAGCACTAGCTTCCTCATCTGGTGATTCACTCATTTTCTTAAATTTGGCAATAGGAAATAAAGCAATATGGAAATCAAACCTAGATAGTGACAGGTAGCGAGTAGCTATTAGGTCTACTTTGAATAGTTTTCAAAGCCACATAATGATGAATTAGAGTTGCAGAATTCAATAGTTTGACTTGTAGTACTGGTATGGAAATTAGGTTTTAAGCTAAAAAAGAAATAGTTTAAATAAACATATAACTGTCCATAAAAGGAGATTCTATTGTCGCCTAGTCTGACTACATAGTGTAGTTTGGTAAATAGGGCCTAATAGCTAATGCATCAGCAGAGTCAAAGTAAGAGCATCCATATTTTAGTAACTTGTCGTTTTCTGAAATAATTTTCAGCATAAATTAGTTATTATGAGGTTCCAATTAGCAAAATAGATATTTACCATGTACAGTATACAACCATATGTAAAATATACAGCTGATTTTGGTCTTTGTTTAAATTATAATACACATTTATTCACCGACAAAAAATATATAGTTGATTCGATTGTCCAGTCTTTTGTAATTTCATCGACCTAGTCTACGCGAGCGGTGTACATATATTTCATGCTGCCAATATAAAGCCCTAAAAGTCCACTAATACAGATCATATTATTTATTGTTATTATTTTGTCGACTTCTATGTCTTATCCAACAATTATATGAGAATAATACTATTTTCGGATAGACATTTAAGGGAAGTTTTTATAGAATGAAAAACAAAACTTTGTTGTGGACTTAAGGATGTATAAATATTTTGTTCTGCACCGCCGGATGTTGTCATTCGCCATTTTTTCTTTCTTCACGACGATAAACAATCTTTTTTTCTCAACTTTCACTGTTATTTTTAAACCTATTTTGTTTGTTTTGAGATAAGATACCCGTCAGCCGGAATGCGCGATGAGCGAATTAAGTTATCAATCAATTCGGTCTGCAAATCAGGCTCGAGAAGCTGTGAGTTTGTTTTTTTTTATTCATTTCTTAGGCTAGTCCGAGAAAACTCAAGTTTCAGACAACTCGGGACTCATTCACACTCACTGTCGTCGAAGCTGACATGGAATCTCGATCTGTTTCAGTGTTAATAAAATAGCATTTCGCCAATCATTTTTGGATGGATTGAATAGCAACTTCATATTACTACTGAATGATCATCATGAATTATTTTAGAGAAATTTTCGCTCTAAAAATTTTAGTAAAATATGGGTAATTTTCTCATATAGGCCTGTAGTGATGAACCTATATTCGTGCATATAAGAATTCAACACCTAATTTTGTCGAAATTAAACAAATTTTTTTTTTATTTCTCAAATATCCTATAGAGTAATTGAAATTGGTTTGTTTCTATTTTCTTTATGAATCCCTCACTTTGACCCATATTTTATGAGTAACTAACTTGACAACGGCGGCAAAATGCGTCACCTATTTTTGTGTTCAATGTTTGATCTATAAATAAGTTGAGATAATCACCTTGTATGGATACCCAGTTGTATATTATCATTTATAACTAATTCCTTCAAAGAACAATGATTTATAAAAAAAAAAATTATTGACTTACAAAATAAGATATGTAAAACGTAAGAGTGATTTATTGCTAAAAGTCATTGACACAACATAAGAATATGGCCCTCATTGTGTTCCATAGAATTTTTCTGCTGACACGCAATCCGCTAGTTTGTCATGTGACTTCGTTCATTGGGTTATATTCTGGCAGACGACACTTGGAATTCTGATTACAAAAGCTGTAATTAAAAGGATTAGCCTATAAAGAAATTAATCCTATAAAAAATTGTGATATTTGGTAATAACGGAAATCCACCATTTTGTATATATTAAAAATAAATAACAAATTTGACATGGCTTTGATACAACAAGAAAAGTCAACTCATGTTTATCAAAACATGCAAATGCGGAGGTCATGTGAGGTCATGTATGTGAATTATTAGTCATTATATATCCAAAACTTATTGAGAGCAGGACACATACAATGATACATGTTTATATAAAGTTTTGTGTGAAGATCAAACGGTTCCCTGTTTAAACCTACCTAAATTATTTTAAGATAGCTGAAAATAAACTGTTGACAGCTTGATCTGTGTTACTATGGTGATAAAATATGATTTGATTTTTATATTTTACTTTGAAGGATGAATTACGAACAGATTCAAGAAAGAAAAATCTGTTGATATTAGTTTTGAATTATTTAACCGAATCAGGGTAGGTATTGAGCTGATAAACTAAGCTTTTTACTTTTAAGACAATTTAAATTCTTAGGATACCATAGTATTAAAACATTGAAGCTTATTGGTTGTTAAACGCTATTTTCATGTGTCAGCAGCATGAGCTTAGCTAGCCATTTTGTTTTTTCTCAAAGATTTGATAATGAATATTTTAATTATAGATATCGTGATTCAGCACAAACATTATCTAAAGAGACTAATATTGATATGAGTAAATATGAGGTTTGTGATAATATAGATCTGGATACTATTTTAATGGAATATGAATCTTATTATTATGTTAAATTTAATAGACATCCTAAAATAACAAAACGACTCACTCAAAGTGGTAAGTAAGATTTTGACTGCAAAACACTGATACTATCTCAAAATGTCACATTTTTCCTAATGCAACACCAAAATGTGACTTGCGTTCTGGTGTTTGAAGTCTTTTATGATTAAAATGAAATTCATGCATCCAGAATTTGTCAAATATTTATCAAAGCATAAGCTTACACAACTTGAAATTCTTGTGACCAAATTTTTATTTATTTTGTATTCTTGTTATTTCTACACCAAATTTACACTTGTTTTTATTTTATTCAGGACTTACAGGTAATTGTTTGAGTTTTCTGATGTTGAGAATCTAACTTTTTAATACTTTGATTTTGGTTTAAAGCGTTTCTTACCATGTTTTACTACCACAACCCACATTTAATTTAATCCAGTTTATTCTTTGTAGTTGTGATAATTGATTATTATATTTAAATTAATCTTAATGTCTGACATTTGTGTCATTACCAAATGATGATGTCTAATTTTTGCAATTTTGTTAATGAAAGATGAAAGCCTGTTAAGATTCACCAAGTAATCGGAATAATTATTATGTTTGTTGTTTGGTTTGGTTTATATTATTATTAAAAATTCCCTTACTTCTCCAATAACTTCAATCCACAGCTTTAGCTTAATATTGAACTGAACTGGCTTCTGACTCCTTTACTTGAGTTTTATATATTAAATATATTGTTATATGATATTGATTGTATCATCATTATTTTGATCTAAATTTTTTCAAAGGATGTATATAAGTATGAAACATTAATTAAATTGTATTTTTGTAGCTGGTGTTGATGGAAGGGGAGGTGGAAAGGGACGTCTGACAAGAAATACAAGGTAAGAGTGTAGTGCACACAAAGTATTAAGTCAAAGTCAAATCAATTTTTTTTTTATTCTATTTGAACAGTTCTATATCACTGAACAAGCAGTGGTGGCACAAGTGAGGGTACAGGGGGGGTATTTGTATACCCCCATTCTCAAGAGGCCAATGTGAACTAACTGCCAAAGGCTGATATTTAAAAATATATGCATTCTGTAACATTTTTGTTTTGATCCAAAAGATATCATGACATAACATTATAAAGTATGAGGAATGTATTTTGCTTTTTTTTCATCTTTCAGTATTAAGGTAAATAATACACCAGCTCTACCAAAAATACCACAAACAGCAAGATTACCTAGTCCCCCAGCACGACCTCGTTCTGGAGGTCAAGGTCAAGTCACTGCTCCAGTAATTAAACCTCAGATCAGTAAAAAACCACAAACCACAGCTGTCAATGGTCATACGGTATGTTTTTATATTTAATGTTACAGCTCTGGTCTGAAAAAAAAATGAGATGTTACTAAATTAGAAGATTTAGGAATTGAGTCTTACAGTTTGAATTGGTGATATAATTGTCCAAATATTTTAGACCCTATTCAGGATGAAAATCTGACATGTAGTAAGAAACATACTGATGAAATTTTCAAGTATTATTATGTATGAAATCTTTATGTATTATATAGCAGGGGAGAATGTTAATCAAACAGTATTTTGTGTTTCAGCAAGCAACAGTAACTAATGGTGCAAATCAAAGTAATTCTGTAACAAATGGAGATGGTTTAGCTTTACAAGGTTTAACAGTCCAGGGTTTACAAAATAATCAAAATGACATACAATTATCAAATAATAGTGCTCCAGTCAAACAACGAAATCGGGTATTTATAACTTTATTCAATATTTACCTATTATAACTGATATTGAGTTATCTGTGCTAAAGTCTCATTCTGTATAACTTAATATTATGCATATCAGAGAAATGAAAAGTGAAAAATATGCTCCCAGTGACAAAATAAGATTTGGCATACATAATATGTTTAGTGGTCTTTTTAAATTTAACAAGATGCATTATAAGGTTATAATTGATTTGTATGTAAGTGACTCTTGTTATATTTCAGCCAGGTCAGATTATTGATATACGTGCAATGATAAATGATGCTACTAAAATGAATGCTGAAGAAGGTGTTGATAGTAGTGTAAGTCAAACTAACTATTGGTTTACTGCTAGAAGTAATACGTTATCTCTCAATAGCTCCTCCTGCCAGGGATTTATAGTCATAAATACTACAAGCTAATTGTAAAGAATAATATTTTTAATATTCAAAGGTATACTATCTCTTGCAATAAAAAACAGACTACATGTATGTAACAATAAATCCTTAAAACTAAAGATATCTTTAAAAATATCAATTTTTTAATGATTACCTTATTATCTTAATTACTTAGATTTATGGATAATTACTTAGTTTTATGGATTTATTGGATTATAGAGGAATCTCTTGTATAATTATGACACCCTGTATGTTATCCTAAGAGGTAGTAATCCTTTAAATGGTTGATGTAAGATTATTTTTGAAAAGATTTTACGTTTTAAACTGTATTTGATTTTTTAGGATCGTTTATTAAAACCTCTTGGTGGTTATGTTGGATATAATTCAGAATGGAGAGAGTTGGCTCAAGTTATAAGTAGAGTAAGTTTCTCCTATAATTATCTGAAAGTAATAAGCCTTTCCAAACATGATTTCAAAATGTCCATCTGTTACATCTTTCTATTTCATATAAAATATATTATTCTAGGATATCTATTCTAATAATCCTGATGTTAAATGGGATGATATTATTGGGTTAGATGAAGCTAAAAGATTAGTTAAAGAAGCTGTTGTTTATCCTATAAAGGTATAAGATTTATGATGTTTCTGTATTTTTAGCATGATAATATCAGGTTGTCTTTATTGTTGGTTAAAGTGTAAAGAAACCATCCTCATCACCAAAAATAATCTTTATCAACTTAATGTGCTTAATCTTTAAGATTTGCTTGGTTTTCTGACTATAAAATGTATTTTATATTGTTTAGTATCCACAGTTATTTCGAGGTATATTATCACCGTGGAAAGGTTTGTTGTTATATGGACCTCCAGGTAAGCCATGTTATACATTTATTGCCTTACAAATACTTTGATACAAAACTGCTATCTAAATATATGTCACTTTCATTCTTTCCTTGATTGTGCTGAAGGTTACTGATAGGCTTACTAATTGTTTGTTAAAATGCATTGTGTGGCAAATTACAAGTTTTGTTTGAATATTTATCTCATAAGGAAATACGAGTTGTAAAATTTGGAAAAATGGACTGCTTTGGGAAAAGTTCATAAGCCAATGATTACTTCTGTTGAAATTAATGCCAAAACCAAAATGCACTAAAAAAACGATATTTATTGGACATTGACAGACAAGACAAAGTCATAATTTCTGCTCTAATGAAACTGCCAAGAATTACATTGGATGCGGCTAATCTTGATAGCGATTATTTATCAAATTCTACGATCTTTATTGGTTTTTATGTGTATATATTTTAGGTACTGGTAAAACATTATTAGCTAAAGCTGTAGCAACTGAATGTAATACAACATTTTTTAATATATCAGCCTCTAGCATAGTAAGTAAATGGAGAGGTGACTCTGAAAAACTTGTTAGGGTAAGTTATTTATTGCCCTTTTCTTCAGATCCTACTTTTCATTTGATATTGCTTGATGTGCATAGACTATTTGTTTACTAGTACTAGTTTAACAAAAGTTTGGGTTCTTTTGATCTTTTTTGCAATCTATTCAATGGCATATTAGAATAGATAAGAGACACTCATGATATTCCTGATGATGGTATGAGAACTAACGTGAAATATTGTTTAACTTATAACAAGCAATAAGATGTATATAGAGCATATTTTAAAGAAATATAAATTATTATTATTATTATTATTACAGGTATTATTTGAGTTAGCAAGATTCCACGCACCATCAACAATATTTTTAGATGAATTAGAATCATTAATGAGTATACGAGGATCTGGAGGGGGTGGGGGGTAAGAATCATGTACAATTTAAATGTAGATACATATTATAGTAACAATCTCAGTCTCTTAATATTTCTTGTGGACAAATTTGAACACAGTTGGTATGCCTGTGTGTTAGTAATATCCTGGATTAGTAGGGTTTGGCACAATTTCAAAGAAAGGTTTCAGGAGTCTTTCCTTTTCCTGAATTGATGTGCACCAACATAAGCTTAGATGGACACGTTATGGATTTTGATTAAGATATATTATATATATATTATACTATAAGTCTGTGATGTATACCAATTCTGAATAAAGTAAAGAATATTAAGTACATATAATGTGATTTTCTGGTTGTAGTGAGCATGAAGGAAGTAGAAGAATGAAAACAGAACTATTAGTGCAAATGGATGGTTTAGCTAAAACAGATGATTTAGTATTTTTATTAGCAGCTTCTAATTTACCTTGGTAGGTATGATCTTCTCAAAACAATGGGACAATTTTGTACTTTATATTATTTTCTGTTATAGGATTGCTAATATGATCCATAAATTTTCCCATTAGTATTAAACCACATCACACAAATTTCAGTTTGGTTTAAAAAAAAAGTCTATTCCATCAGCAATTCTGTAGGAAATTTTCAGCTGAATCAACATGAATCGTTTTTTTTTATTGTAAATATATTGATAAAAGCTCATCACCTGCTTCTTCTGATTTTAAATGCTCCGGGTATTTTAGGGAATTGGACCATGCTATGTTGAGAAGATTAGAAAAGAGAATATTAGTTGATATGCCTACCTATGATGCTCGAAAGTCAATGATCAACCAGTTCCTACCACCAGTGGTTAATCAAGGTTCTGATGAATTAGAATTATTAGCTGATTTAGATTATGGTAAATTAGCTGGGGTGAGTTATAATATATCATACATTAATAGTTGTGTTAATAACAGATAGCTGTTTTTGCAACATCTTGACTTCTAGACATATCAGATTACAGATCAAATTTATTTTGTTGCCAAACTATTAATATAAATTTGTATAATAAAAAGTTGTACCATACATGTTAAAGCTGTTATTAAACAAGACTGTAAAATGCAGCTAAATGTTTACTATATGAAATATGATTGTATATAATTCAGATCAGATAATGATTTCAAAATTAAGGAATACTGTTATACTGTAGCATTAAAGTCAATTTGGCTATTGAAAGCCCATAATTGAATTGACTGCATAAGATTTTCCTGTATTGTTTTCTGTTTTAAACAGCACACTGATGGCTATTCTGGTTCTGATATTAAGTTATTATGTAAAGAAGCAGCTATGAGACCTGTGAGGAAAATATTTGCTGCTTTAGAAGGACATAATGAAGGTAAATATAATGATTTTATATCAAATTTTTCAATCATAAGAATGCTCCTAATTTTGGTTCTTTTTTCACCATCAACTGGGTGAAATCAGGGAAAATCATGTGTGAAAGATCGTTTGATATTGTGTTCAGTTCTGTATTTTACTGAGCTATAAATAAATTCCAATTAGTAAACATGCTATGCAAATCGTAATAGCTTCATGCCCCAAGAGTTTTTTTAAAAAAAACAACATAAAACTAATATAGATTCAAGGTGGAATTTTTATTTTGTGATTAATTTCAGGTGAATTGTTACATTTGAGATTAGATACTATTACAACAAGAGATGTTATGATAGCCTTAGAAAGAACTAAACCATCAGCAAAACAACTTAAACCTAAATATGAAGCTTGGCAGAAAGAATATGAATCAGTCTGATTAAATAGGGACAAAGTACTATTTTCTGTGATATTTTTTATTTCTTTCTCACCAAATTTGCATCAATCATGGTATAACACTGAAGATCCCCAAAAATATCTTATCTTATTGAAAGAAATGATTATCTCAATATGAAAATCATAGCAGGACATTTAGGGGCTTTACTCATACGTGAGAGACAAAAACTACCAAGTCAGTGTAGATGATGGATATAGCCACAATTTACTTATCTCAACCAATTGCAAGATATTGCATGTACAAATAACAATATTAACATATACCGGTTATTTCTTTAAAGTTAATACAGAGGATAAGGTTGATATCACATCATAATTTATCACATTGTACTTTCTCACATTCCAATCAAATCCAAATAATCTCCATCATGTTTTAATTTTGTCTCTCATTTCGGACTGTCCAGTGTCATGTGATTTTAAGTGCCCTTTTTTGTTGATATTTATTTTTTAATTGTTGTGAATTATTTTACATTTACACATAGTAAAATAAAAAAATTTTTTTTAAACAGCCTTACGATTAATTTCATTCTGTACAGCATTGTAATTGTTAAGGAATATTTCTTTCAATGACATCTTTCCTTCAAGAAGTCATGTGCCAAAGATTTGAGATACAAGTCTTTCAATTTTTCCTTCACTTGTTCCTGGTAGAATTAAAATTAGAACTATGAGATTTATTTAAAACAGTCTGTACTGTAAATATCAGCTTGGATCTTCAAACATCCCTAACATATGTCTCTCTATTATTTGTTGAGCTGGAAAATATAAGGTTGTCTCATATTTTTACAATCTGATTATATAACTTATTCTATTTTCGACATGTACATTTTAAAACCAAGCAAAGAACTGTACATATTGTTTGAACAAATTTGAAAAATACAAAACCACATGATTATACGGTGGACTGTTAATCTTTGATTGAAATGTTTCCTAAAACTATAGCCTACTTGAAAAAGTAATGCAGGCTACAATGAGGAAAATTTTGGCATGAGCCTCCTTTTTTTCGTTTTCTAACTGGGAACAGCTTATAGCACATGGGGCCACGGTTTATTGTCCCATCCGCATGAGCCTGTCTTACCTGCATCACAGACAGGGAGAAACCGGGTTGAAGGTATTTTCACGACCTATGCTGGGATGGAACCCTGGACCTTCTAACTTACTGAGTCTCAGAGGCTCTCAAAGCCTACTTTAAACAACAGAAGCTATTAGAGTCATCTTATTGGTATTCATAAGAGCTCATTCCGTCAAGTAAAATGTATCCCAACGAAAAATGTCTATTTACTTACCTGCTTTATGACCTTGACCTACAGCTAAATCAAAAGCAGTATGATTATCTTCATTTATAATAGTTATATCAGCTCCCCATTCTAATAATAACTGTATACATGATAGGTGATTATTGAAAGCTGAATAAATTAAAGCTGAACTTCCACTCTAAAAGATAAATCCATGCACTCAGTTATATTTACTAAATTCCTTGCAATAATCGTAAGCTTCTTTCCCAATTAACATGAGTACATACCAGATTAAATACTGTGCATTAAAAATCCATAAAATATTACATGTATTTATATACGCCCACATTATAATGTGGTCGTTTATTGTTGTCGCCCCTGTCCGTTCGTCATTCCGTCATACGCAATTGGCTTGTGAATGTTATAGAGACAACAGTTTTTAACTGATTTTAATGAAATTTTGTGTCATCATTTTGGATAAGTTCACATTTGGCTATCTTTCGATGAACGTTTTTTTTTTGTTATTGCCCTTGACTTACGAAAAAAGGGTCAAAATTTGAACACAATAGAGACTACAGTTTTCATCCGATTTAAATGATATTTGGTGTGATCATTTATAATAATGAGATCTTAGTCAAGATTGAATCTGACGATTTTTCGATCAACGAAATTTGAGTCATTGACCTTGACTTAGTAAAAACGCATCAAAATTTGTTGGCTTGTTAATGCGATAAAGGTGACAGTTTCTGTCAGAATTTTATTAAATTTTCTGTGTTTGATTAAATCAACAATATCTTGCACCAAATTAGATTTTTGGACACAGATTTGACCATCCCTGATATACTGTATTTGCATTAGCATCTACCAACAATACATAAACTTAACCAAATCAAATAGTATACCTCATCTCTATAGTTAATATCCATTCCTAATTTTAATAATTCTAACACAATATCAGAATATCCATAACAACTTGATAATAGTAATGAGTTTTCACCATGATTACCAACAGTATTAATACAGGCACCATTCTCTAATAGATATTCTACACTAGACATCTGACCGTTAGCAGACGCCCATAATATAGGTGTGAATCCAGAATCATCGGCTTTATTGATATCACATCCTGAAAAAAAATGTCAAAGTTTGTCAATTACTGTACTTCTGCATTTATTCATATAATAGATAGAGTCATTTACCAATTTGCTTCACTTGTTGATATAGATCAATTTCAGCTATATATTTCACTTTTCAGAGTTAAAATCTCATACACAGTTACAATTCAACAAATACATATCACTTTTCAGAGTTAAAATCTAATACACAGTTACAATTCAACAAATACATATCACTTTTCAGAGTTAAAATCTAATACACAGTTACAATTCAACAAATACATGCGGTGCAAATCATATAACCTTTGTTTTTGACCTTTTCGTCTACTGTTATTACTGATATGTTAAATTGTAAGTTATATCTGCCCTGGAAACAAGAAGTCTGTACAAGCATGGTACAATAGCAGCTGAAATTGAACTTTGTAAATCAGAAATACATAAATACATGTTAATTAGCTACATACCATCTTTAATCTCTTGTGTCAATAAAACTAATTCACCTTGAGCTGCCATTTGATGTATACTCATATCTATAATCAAATTATAGTGTTTATTATATAATAAACATTCTTTAACAGTAGATTTCTGCTATGGTACATCTTATTTGATTGAATAAAGTTGAAAAAATTTTCATGTCCAACTCAGGAAACTTGAAGATGATGTCTGTGTACATAACAAAAGGAAAACTTACTTTGTATAACTGATGGTGTTGTTGTTTGAACATTACCTCTTTGTAAATTAGACATCACTGTTGATGGCTGTAATCATAATGAAATTAATTACTTATTATTCATCTAGGGTAGACCAATATTGGAAATTATTTTTATAAATCCATGGCTATTAATAGGTAAAATAATATACTGTTTTAAAATATTCAAAACAATAAATAATACATCTTGATTTTATAAAATACATATTGCAACACATTATATTTGTGACGTCAAATTTAATTGAATGTCTGCTATTTTTTCAAGAAATAAATTCCAAGGCTAAAACTGTGTATTATCTTACCCTGAAAGGTGAGTAATTGATTTTGGAGGCAGTGCCTGGTCGTCTGTATTGTTTAGTTGGTGAAGAATCAATATCACTTGCACTTCCATTAAGACTTTCATTACCTAAATTATAAAAACCAATTATCAATGTAACATATATGAATTAATTATTAATGCATAATAAAAAAAAATTGTATATACCCCTGGTACTATTGAATATACAGCTCTCAATTCTGGGAAAAATAAGGTAAACATGGAAACATTTAAGGACGCATCTTTTCAGGAATCTTGTGATATCTATATATAATATTATTCTGGTCATTTTAGCTTTGATCATTAATTACCCATTAGGCTACTTACCATCACCAAACACATTTTCCACTTCCAAATCATTTAATTCTTGATCACTGTCTACAGGTGAGAAAAAACGACTTCCAGAAAATGTTCTTCTTCTTATTGGTGATGCCATTTTTCTATTTTTATCAGGTGATGGCTGTTTAGATGATGATTGGTTTGAATCCATGACAAATATCTTCAATGACCTAAACACTAAGGACCTTTTTTTATCACCAACATCACTTTGGCAGTCCACATAGATTAATCGCCGGTAAAAATGTTCAATGTTTACATATTTTTTTATTAGGATACAAATTCAAGGGTCCTAGATTTCGATTTTTTTTCATTGGCCTAATAAGTCTTCTTTTCATTTCCAGACAGGTATCTCCAAAATATTTCTCAAAATTCAACTTCGGTACAGGACCTACTGGCACCATATAAGTTTATACCGTGTGTTGTGTATACTCATAAGATCTGGGCAAATCGAATGTCCTCTTATTCAAGTGAGTCATCCTACTTTGGCTTTTTTTATAATAACAATACTGAATTGATCTCCAACTTTAGAGAGCATACGACAGATTATCTCCCTTGAATGCTAACAGTGTAAGCATAGAATTGTATGTCAGTATACAGTTCTATGGGTAAGTATGTAATTTGGGTCAGTGTGAAATACAGAATTCTCCGAACAGATATTGTTGGCTTTTATAAATCATTACTTATATCAATTTAAATAAAAATTTCCATTTCAGATTGATTTTTTATTCAACAAAATACACATTTATGTAAATAAGATGAGCAACTTGATAATTTGTTTCGCAAAAGATCTTTGAATGTAACAAAATATAACTGATACATGTTAATTATTCACAACACGAAAAACAAACTTTTAACAATATTTATAGTGACCAAAATGTGAATTTGAAATAATCCAGAGGCTTTCACATTTGAATGTTACATGTTAAACAATTAATTCATTTTAAATTCAAATTTAACTGAATTGCTGATAGATTATCATAAGTTTTTTTTATAAAACTTCATGAATAATGGCACAAGTTATTGAGTCTGATACATCGATACTTACTAATATTGATACTTACTCAATGATATCTACATAATAATTATTTTTAGTATTTTGTTGTAATGGATAGAGAAAGAAATCCTCAACAAATCAAAGTTTAGTTATGAGATCAAGATCAAAGAGGGTCAATGAACTCGCTACATCAAGATGTAAAAAATTAGGACTGTAAGTAAAAGTAGGATAATATGATTCATCCATTTAAATTCTGCAATATGTCAAATTAAACATTATATTTCTAATTACATACATAACAAACTAATTAACAATTCAACAAACAGAAACTTAACGACAAATACCCAAAAAAATCCAATGGCACTGTTATGAATTCAAACTTATTCTGTAATGAACAACTTAGTCAAGACTGAAATATTGAATATACTGAAAAATTCACCGGGTGATATGAATTAATAATACTTTTGAACATGAAATGAAATATAGTGGTTTTTTTTAAAACTAATAAACCAATGAAGCCAGGCTTAAAGATGTTTTTTTCGCATTTTAAAACTATATGAAATTTAAATATATTTTTTCCTATTACTGGAGTTAATAAATGCAATATCAAATTACTTGAGTAGCTGTTGCATATAATTAATCATGAATTTCTGTGTATGTACAGCCTGGATAATAAAAGGGACTAATTGACCTTTATTGATCGGACACTCTTTAGAAAATTTGTCTGCATTCTTATTTAATTAGCTAATTACAAGTTTATTAGGGACTCTTGTGACAAACTGGTATTTTTCCCAATCATAAGAACACCTCTACTTTCGATTGATATAAGTATTAGCTTTCCAATAATCAAATATATATATAATAAGGAAAGGCATCTTTAATATTCATTGAAAAACCTAACCAAAATTGAAGAAAAGGTGAAGAAAAAAAAATACGCATTGAACCCTCTGATACTCATATTATATTTCGATGCAATTGCAGACACTATATTTTTAAGAAAGAACAGTCAAATGCAATTAGAACAATTATGTAGATTACTAATGATGGGACATAGCTATAAAACACTGACTTAGTTACAAACAATTTGTCCATTAACAGGAAATATGTGAACAAATAAACAAACTAAAATATCATATCACAAACATAAGACCATATTTTTTAATAAGCACACTTCTTTAATAAAATATTAAACTTAAAAACTAGGAAAGCTTCTCGAATTCGCATGTCATGCTTGCGTATGGAATTCATATACTAAAGTTGGGACAATACAGAGAAGATTAGCATGGCCCCTGCGGGAAGATGACGTGCAAATTCGTGAAGCTTTCCATATTTATATATGTTTAATATTTTATTAAAGTGTGCTTATTCCATAATATTGTCTTGTGTTTGTGACATGTACTTCTCACTTCTAATAACGTTCAAGTCTTATAAAATATCATAAATAGAATACCAATTGCATATAATCAAGAGTCATAACTAATCATGAATGTCTGTGTATGTACAGACTGGATTAAGAGGAAATATATTTGATGATATATATACAATAACAAATGGACAAACTATATAATATCATGCATATAAAAATATATTATATTTCCCTGAAAGTAGGGTGGTGGATAAGATATGTCAAAAGATCATTGTCCCATTTTGATATCAGGTGGACAAATTTGACGTTCTCCTTCAGCTAAAAAAATCTGTAAAGCTTTCTTCAAAAAATACACACCCATTCTTCTTTTAACTTTCATAGACCAAGTAGAAGATGTTCCATAAAAATCTCCCTTCTTTTTATTAGTTAACTTATCTAAACCTACAATAATATAATAGAGGATCACAGTATTAATAATAATATTTACATAATATTTTGATATTTGAATGAATTTTGGAGGCATGGTGCACATATCGCACACACAAGAAATTTATCATGGAAACAAATATGACTAATCAGAAAATAATGCAGAAAGCAATAGGTAAATACTTTTCCTAAGATAAAATTGTTCAACTCACTGAATGCTTGAATCATGCAAGCCTCTCTAGTATAAGCTTCTACTGGTATAACGTTTTGAAAGATATGTAATGAAACGACACCTTGTTGTTCATACCATATATCTAATATTTGTTGAACTTTATTACTAACCTAATAATACAAAATACATAGATACAGTAATGATATAAGTTATGACAATTATCAGTTAATAGTGCCTACAAACTAACAAGCCTAGTTTTATCTCCAACAGTTTTCATTAGATAAGTTTTAGTCTGATATTTGTGTACACTTTATACCACTCTTTCAGAGATCGATATCACTTGACTAATAACAATTATTTTGCTCTGGTGATAGTTCTATTTTATAGAATATACTTACATTAGGTTTAGGTTTCTGTAACTGTGTTATTGCCTCATATAAATGAGTGTAAGGCCTTGATCTTTTGCCTTTACCAATATAAAATATAGCAGCTACAAATGTACAGAATACATCTCCATCAGCTGTAAATATAATAGTCAAAATAAGTAATTGGCCAATAGGTACAAAAGATGAAGAAATGTTCCAAAGCTCTCTTGATTCAGATCTGTGTATGATACAAAAGAATTATTAAACCAGAACCTGAAAACATGTTGTTACTCAAGAGTTGTGTCTGTACTACAAGTCAAGTTTGTATGTCTGTTTAAAGATGTGTCCTTTTCAGTTAAACACAGGTTGCATCATTTGGTTTTATTTGTACAGTATTTAGTTTTATCATGAATTTATACTGAAAATACCTTCTAAAAGTTGATATGATCAGGTTCATACGAAATTAAATCTTTAGTGCATACATGGCTTAAAAAATAAAATTATCTTCTTTTCCTCCTCACCCATATTTTTAGCTCTTAATGGAAGATTTTTGGTCACTCTGGGATCAAGAAGTAAATAATTGAAAGATGATTTTAAAGCACCTTCTCTCCATTTTCTACCATTAGAATTATTAAATAAATCAATCATCTTTATTTCTAGATCTTGTAAACCAACATCGTCAAACTTTCCTTCCATAGCATTCCGCAACTCTACAGAATAGTCTGAATAATAAAACATTTAAGGTGAATGTAGTATTGTACTTGAATTAATTGATAATAAATTTTAGCCAATTTAGTATTATCTGTCAAAATATAAGAGGCAAATCAGTCCCTGGATGGAGACTCTGAAAGGCCACCTTTCCTAATAATGAGCTCCATTTTAAAGTAGGATTAAAAACTATTAATGTTTGAATACAGAAACATACCTGGACCATGTTTACTAAGTTGAATCAGACCAGGATTACTGGTAATACTAGCCAAACGTATTAAATATGTCTGTCTTGTGGCAGCAATAACTGGCCCAGGATCTTCACCATATGATAACAGTCTCTGTCTTATTTCTTCATTAGACATGGAATTGAACTGTTGAGATAATTGAATTGTCTCAACATCACTGTCAGTCTCAGATTGCTTCAAATCTGGTTTAGTTTTAACATAAGATTTCCAGTCATATTCTTCAGTTTTCTGTGAATCAATTGATCTAGCACTGGTAACAGAATCTAAGGACAATCTTCCTGTAGTACTGTTGCCACATTCTGATGATACATGACGTTCAATTAGAGTTATACCCCTTTCCACATCTCTGTAAACATATTCTTTAACTGTAATATTACTGAACATACTATCCAAAGATGGCCGCCTGTCTCCACAAAATCTCTTGTCTAGAACTGATGACGTGATTGATAGTTTCCTTGTATTAGGAGAGATATTTTTATCATTTGGTGTTGACACTGAAATCAAACTGGGTTCTGATGAGGACTCATACTGTTTTCTGTTGGTGACACCATCTGTTATTCTAACTAGTTTTTCATCATGATCCATCATTTCTCTTCTATTTCTTCTCCCTCTTTTAGGACTTTCAAATTTAAATGACTGAAGTCTATCTGACAGATCACCAACATTAAACTTGGTTCTCTTTGGTTTGGATGTCTTACTTCCTTCAATATAATGTTCACTTGTATTATTAATACTGCTGTCCCCTTGAGAGCTTAATTGTGGAGTCGTCCTTGACTTGGATGTTGATGACATGTTGATATGCTCATCAGAGATTGTTCTGTTGGGGTCACCATCTTCGCATGTAACGAAAGTGTCACAAGATGAATTACTTTCACGTCTGGTGTTACTTACCGAATTTCTAGTTGTTGAATTTGAAGATTGGCTGGAATTTAGTTCAAATGGTAATGTGTTTGATAATTGAGCTGTGTTTAAAATGTTGGTGAGATTGGAATCATCAGAAATATAGGAATTGTTAACATTCGTGTTATCATTTTCAGGAGTGAATGGTACTTCTCCAGAATATAACAGGCTTTGTTGAGTTGGCCACTTCTGCTTATTTTCTAATAGTCTTTCTGTGTAAGCAGCTCGGTTTTGAGATACTATGTCTGTTAATGTTGAAATATTCTTACTTTCACTATGTATAGGTACACAACCTGATATCATATGATGTGATACATCTGAACTGATTTCAGAATCTATACAAGCTTCAAAATTAAAACTTCTCTGATCTGTTGGTTCTGGAACATTATGAGATCCATTGATTTGAGATAATTTATTAAATTGATCTTGGCGGTCTCTACATCTCCTAGCTACAATATTATTGTCTGTTGATTTCACAAATTTTCTTTTCGAGTACTGACTATTACTGGATTTCTGTGAATTTTGACTGAGAGTTGAATCTGACTCTGACTCTGAATGCTGTAAAGATGATGGTGCTGGTATGGCAGTATCTAAAGGCTTATCTGCATGACATTGCATATAATGCTTAACATCCTGATTAGGTTTGGGGGAAGAAGGATGATGATGATGCTCTTGTTGATAATTTCTTTCACCTTGATTTCCATATGATTGATGAATTTCTGGATGGTAGCTGTTACAAGCTGGTTGATCAGCAGAGCAATGGATACTTGAGTAACAATTTGGTACGGTTTTCCGACTTAACTGTGGTAAATTACAACCAACACTGTAGAATTTTTTAAGGGTAGGAGTTTGATTAGAATGAGGATGACAGCGGTTTAAAACTGTAATGGGCAGATGTTCACGGTTTTGAGATCTCAATACATCATCAGTTTCTTCCAATTTACTGTTATTTGTTCTATTATACATATCAGCATGTTCAGATACCCATTGTATTGTATTGTTTTGTTTGAAATTCTTCTGAAATTCAGGTAAAGGAGATGTACCTCGTCTCAGAGTTGCTTCATCCTTTTGAATATCATTCATTGATGAACTGGTGATTAGATATTTACTTTTGTTAAATTGGTCTGGACTTTTTAATGGCTCACTCATAAACTTGTATTGACATCCATTGTCTCTCACATTAGATGAAGTTCGATGATAAGGATTGGTCACAGCTGATGTATTATCATATAAAATGAAAGAATCTTCTAAGGAATTACTTGAAACAGGAGATAAACAGTTTGTCTGTCTGTACGTCTGTTTATAATCCATATAAGGATGATCAGGGGAGGTAACATCAATAGAAATTGGTTGACCACATCTTGTATGATGATATAATTGATGATTTAGTTTGTTGATATACAGATGATTATAATTTCTGGATGTGATACAATCATCAAATAACTGTGAAGCTTCATCACTATCATAACTAGAATCAAATTTACTATCATCTGTTCTTATTTGATTATCATCTTCACTTATACGCATTCCTGTAATACAAAAAAAAAAATTATTTTGATTATTGTTGAATGTATTGCATAATGATTTTAAGCTTCACCACCTGCATTATCAAGATAATATTTACCATAAATTATAAACATAAATCTTGTGAGTTTAATACACACGGAAACAGTATAAATGTTAAATTTTCCCTGCCTATGATTGTAACATTATTATCATGAACATTTGTGATTATAAATAAACTACTAACTTGTATATTTCTCACTAATAAAGTCATGATTATCAGATAATAATAACAAAGAATAATACTTCAGATAAACATATACATCTTCATGACCATATACTTTAGCTACATCCACTGGTTGATAGCCATCCTAGAAAAAAATATAACAAATACTTGTTACTTTTCTACACCTAATAGGCTAATGAAGACAGCACTCAGAGGAAGACGACCTGTAAAGCAGGAACCATAATACAACGAGAACTACCTGATCTTTAATCAGTGGATCAGCCCCACACTGTAGTAATAGTTTAACACATTCATCATCACCCCAAGTAGCAGCCACATGTAGAGGTGTTGATCCTTCTATAGATCTGAAAATAGAATATTTAGATTCAAGACACAACATCACTCACACAATGTGATTTAATTAACTGTAAGCTTATAATTTCAAATTCCCTCAAGCAGATATTGCATTTCATTTGCATGCAAAATATTTGTCACTTATTTCTAAGGATCATTAAACTAAGTCCCTTTCCAACTACTGTTTATAAAATCTAAATTATTGTAAGATCAATTTACATGTAACTAAAATGAGTGCCATCAATAACTTACTTTATATTAGGGTTCCCACCGTGTTCAATAAATAAAGACAAAGCCTTTTTACCCAAACCAGCAGCTAAATGTATAGGAGCAACACCTTCTGACGGAAACACATAGTTTGGATCTGCTCCTTGCACAAGAAATATTTCAGCATTTCTGTAATAGTAAATATAGTATGTGCATGTTTTTATTTCTTACTCAGTATTAATTACTAGTAGGCACCTTTAAAGTCTAAACCCAATTATAACGATGCATACACAACAGTTACAGACTCTCAGACTTTGTCAATATTTAATTTTGGGGCTTTTTACATTCCCCTGACATAAGCCACCCCAGTCTCATCTGACATCACATTCATTATTTTTTTTAATACAGTCAAGTAACCTAATTTCTTGCAAACCTAACTTTGTGCATCTTCCGAAATAATAAATAATTGCAACCTCAAGTGACCTCAGCATTTGCATCTTTTCATAAACTTGGGTTATCTCTAAAACATCAACACGCAGAATTTTTCCAATCGTTTCAAAGCAATGTCACATTTATTATCTATTTCTAACATAAACAAAATGGTGGATTTCAGTTATTACCAAATGTGACAATTTATCGGCCAAATTTCCTTATAATCCCCAGTTGTAATCGGAATTCTAAGTGTCGTCTGCTAAAATATATTCCAGTGAACAAAGTAACATGACAAACTAGCGGATTCCATGTCAACAGAAAAATTCACAATGTAGATTAGGTCATATTACATGTAATATGTTGTTTCAATGAATTTTAGCAATAAATTACTTTTACTTTAGGTTTGACTTATCATATTTTGACAGTCACTATTTTTGTTCTTCAAATCATTGTTTTTCGAAGGAATTGACATAGGTTATAATGACTTGATATTAATTAAAGATAAATACTAAGAAATGATAATTATACAACTTGGTATCCATACAACGTGTTTTTCTTGACTTATTTTTACTTATAGATCAAACATTGTACACGAAAATAGGTGATGCATTTACCAGCCATGGTCGAGTTGTTTACTCATGAAATATGGGTCAAGGTGAGGGATTCATAAAGAACCAAACCAATTTTGATTATTTTATAGAATATCTGAAGAAACATCCGTTTTCATATTTGGAAGAAATTCGGTTTTGAAAACTTATATTCACGAAAATAGGTTACACCACTGTAGTGATCAATATGAATATGGTTGTACATCGACAGTCAACCATAATGATAATATCAAGGACAAGAGGTAATTAGGGTGAAAACTCACTCCAAGTTATCATTTTTCAAAGATTCTATCAAATTCTTGGTTAAATTCATTGCGAAATAATTTAGTTTAATACTTCATGAGTTATTTTGTTTTGATTATCCCGCCATTGTTGTTTTTCTCCATGCTTACATCAATGACAAACATAATTCCGTTTCTTTTTTGTCCTTATATTTGAATGATTTCTTTATATCTTTCTAATGTACAGTTTGCATTATTATGAAATGATTTTCAATAATAAATACTGGCTGATGCTTGATGTAGAAAAGAAAATCAAATTTAATGACGTTTGTCATTGATGTAAGCGGCAACACAAAAATGGGAACTGGTATTGTAAGTATTGAATCGAAAAGAAGCATTATTCGACGATTTATCTGTCGAAGTTCTTTAGGCATTGGAGATATTATTCTACATATAGTTAAAGTTATAGAATTAAATTAGAAGATAAAGGTTAAAGTTATTGTTATCGACACCGATTCGCCACAAGAACACGTAGCCACAACCACTTCAATGATTACCTCCCTTTAATAACAGTGCCATACCTCTATGAACGGAGCACAACAGAGCATAATTTCTTTTTTGCATTCTCTCTCAGTTGAGTCAGTTCTCAGACCACAACTAATTCTCTAAGTCCATGCTTTATTATTTTGAATAACTGTGAGGTAACGTGACTAAAAACCTGGAAATAATTTGTCTCTTATTTTTCAGAATTGGAAGATGTAACTATTCGACGGTCGTCAAAAAGTGATAGGTTGAGAATGTCATCTCATCTGTTGTTGTTAGTATTTCTTTATTTTATACAAGGACTGCCGTATGGTCTACAGTCTAGATTTCTGCCAACTTATTTCAGATCCAATGGAATGTCTTTAACCAAACTAGGACTATTTAAACTACTATTGGCACCATGGATGCTAAAGACACTCTGGGCACCATTGGTAGATAAATATGGCAGCAAGAAGTCGTGGTTGGTGACTAGTATGGTTGGTTTGGTTGTAACATGTTTCTTTGGTGCTGTTTCTGAACCAGACAATATAATTCAACTGACCAGCGTTCTGTTACTCTTCAATTTATTGACTTCTACACAAGACATTGCCGTAGACGGGGTGGCAATTAATTTACTAACGACCGTGGAATTAGGCTATGGGAATATTGCTCAAGTTGTAGGGTATAAATTTGGTGCTATATTTGGTGGTGGATTAATGACGTGGTTAATGGAGTATATAAGTTGGGTAGTATTATTTCAATCCTTAGCTATGGTTTACTGTCTTGGGGTTTTCATTGTTCTCACATTCCTCCCGAAAACTAGCGAAAAAGAAAATTGCGACCTTAAAGACGATGTAGTTACCAACCAAAATAGTTGGTGGAAACGCCATATTTCAGATGTTTTCAATACTGAAGGAACTTACTGGATTCTAGTGTATGTTCTGATTTATAAATTAGGTAAGAAATTTTATCAAACCAAACGTGAAAATTGTCTCGAAAAATGAACATACTTATAATGTGATCAACTGTATCAATTATAATCAAGTTTTTGTAGAATTACAGGGACAGAGCAGACGTTGGACGGACATTCGAAATGGTGCGAACTAAAGGATGTTGAAACGATTTGCTTCTATTATTTTCTACTGTATCGACAATCCTGTACCGTACCTCGTCTATTGTCAATATAAGAAACCCTCTTTTAATCTCTACAAATATATAAAGATCTCCTTTCCAATTCTATTTTACAGGAGAGCAAGGTGCTTTAAGTATGACACCATTGTTCTTACTGGATAATGGTGTATCTACGACCAAAGTGGGATTTTGGATTGGTGTTGTTGGTCAAATTGCTTCTATTGTCGGTTCCATCATCGGAGGCTATGTTTCATCTTATTTCAGGTAAATATTGAGGTAAAAATGATCAGCATCTGCAAAAATGTCATCTTCACACCTTCACAAAGTGAAGTTATTACGAACTTCGTCTTATACCTTTACTGCCATACCCACCATTCTTGTATCACAGATATGTGTAAATGCAGCGAGTTGAATGGATTGTACGCAAAGAAATAAAGCCTATCAGAGACCTCAGAAAGTATTTAAATAATAAGCCAAAATGTTTACATTTACAGTCTTTTAAGTCAAGGGATGTGATTGGTTGTATTCGATAGTGTACAATCAAATAGCTGCATTCTGTGATAAAAGAAAGGTGGACATTGCAAGACTAAGATCGTAATAGCTTGAGATTGTATGACAACCAGTAGAAGAATATGGATCAATCATTTATTTATATTTTGTATTGTAGATGTTCAATTATATCGTCATTAAAACTCACAAACACAGTTCGAATCGTACTTCTGTTAACTCAATGTATCATCATTTGTTTCTGGTCATCCATAGAGGTTTGGTTTGGACACCACATTAATCTTGGTAAGGTAGCAGTTACATGGCATATTCCTACGTTACAATTTTTCAAGCACCGTAGAAGCATAATTCCCCAAACTCCCATCTACCATTTGTACAAGCAGCAAGCTACTACAGGTGTGAAGTTGTTATCAAGTTTCGAAGCACCAAGGACGGCGGGAAATGTTGAATTAAATTGTCATGTCAGAAATTTTTTTTGGTTGTGATCAGAATGATTGGTTCACAGACACGTAACGGTCTTTTGAAATCATTGGAACAATTTCGAAAGCGTATACATCTGAACAGTGGCGAAAAAGTCTGAAAAACTATATTTTTTGCCCCAAAATAAGAGTCAAGATGCTCCAATCAATTCAATTTTTCGAAAATTGTCTTGGGAGAACCCTTGCAGACGCTCAATGAGATGCTTACGACTTCGAAGACTCCACGGAGTTGCCGCTTTTTTAATTCAGTATGGACAATTGTCCCCCATTGAGTTTGTCTGTTCCTTATTTGCCACTGCATCTGATTGAAACCTCATAATTTCAGAAAAATTGACTACTTAATTATAATTCTTTTGGTCATTCTTTTATTTTCAGTGATGGTGGTGATTGTTATGTCTTTCCTGCTCGTCATTAGTGGTTCTATTACAACATTAACATTCACGTTGATGATGGAATGTTCAAAAAGAGCACCATCCAATGTTCAAGCCACTCATTATACGACTCTGGCCACTTGTGAAGTGATTGGTAAACTGTGTTTTTCTGTTATAACCGGAGCTTTAACGGACTATCTTGGTTATGAAATTATTTATTTCGTATTTTTAATGTTAGCAGTATGTGTTATGCCGATGTTGTGGACATATCGTTCTTATACAATTACATCTGAAACTAGCCATAATGATTGACTAGCTCCGAATATCCGTTGATATTCGTAATGTGTTTGATTGAAGGCTTTGTGTGGGAATGTGGATGTTTTTCTGATATATATCTTTGGTTTCAAACTACTGGTATCTTTGGTGAACAACAAAGTATACACAAATATTGCTTGGTGTCATCAAATAAACGTTTTACCTACAACCGAAATCTTGTTTTATCTTTCCAAATTATTTATTTAGCTTTCCTGAAAACGTGTCTCTGACTGCATATATATAGCCTTAATACTCTATTAATGCAGTCTTTGGCCACAAGCACAGATAGAACAGACAAAAACCTAACTTATTCTTCATTTAACTATCTGTGGTTAGAAATCCATGAATGCCCAGTAATCGCCATCCATTATGTGTATATTATACTGTTTCATGCACGTTTGTGAATGCAGCAAGTTGATTGAGGAATTGAGTTGATTCGATAGTACTCCAGCAAAAACAGCCTGACTCGCCTATCTGAGCCCTCGACAGAAAGACTGTAAAAAATAATTACGCATTAAATGGAGGGCACTGATTGATCAAATCGCCGACCGCTGAACAAGAAAATGGGCCCTTGCAGTTAAGGTATAAGATGAAAACGTATACCTTAACCATTGTGAAGGTGATGCAGGGCATGCTATTTTCTCTTCCACTTTTTTACCCTGCTTTCTTTTCGAAAAAAATATTTTTTCAGAGGCCCCATAATAACATGTTAATGTCATACACCGAAAATAATTTGTCATAATTTGACCGCAGTGCTACTATTAAACGCGTGGTGCACCTCTATACCCTGCTTGATACATGAAAAACCACTAAATCTCAGTAAAGTTGTGACAACCTAAAGAGATCAAGGTCGGAGAAAGAATGAATTTGGCGTGAAGTTTAACCCACACATGTTTGAGTTATTTTTAGTAACTATGTGAACCGGAGTAAAATATCAGGCTACTCAAGGAAGAATTCCATCGTACTGGCTACTTGATATTAACAACAGGAACCTCACTAACTTTAACTTCATCATTCAATTTTCTGTTATTTTTAAAAACCATTCTGAATCTCTTTCAGAAACACAACATAAAGACGTAGTGTCGAATAGTTTGAACATTATGTTTTGGATAAGTCTATTAAATTTGTAGCAATAAGTAAGGTAAGAACCAAAGTCTGAATATTTTATCGAATAGCGTTCTAAATCAGTACCATGTTGTAAAGTTCATAACCTAGCACGGTAGAAATTTAGAACAATCTCATATTTCCAGCTATATATGTTGAAGTTAACTTTTCGTTTGATCGGATTTAAAAATCATTTGATTTCTGCAGTCGTTGCCACAACAGATGTCATAATAAAACTTTTACAAAATCAAAACCTAAAAAAAAAGTATTAGAGATTTGTTGATAAGTAACTGATTGTATGTATTATTAAAGAATTGCGAAATCATTGTGGGCCATAAGGTTTAAGATTTCATAATTTCGTGTTTATACATATATGGATAAAGTAGTCAGATAGTTTTTGTTTTACTAATTGAATAGTCTTCTGTCAGACATTTGTAAATTAGTCAGAATAGAATAGTACCATAAGTCAGGGAATGTGATGAAAATAATATAAGGGTTGGGTCTGTAAAAACGATTCTAGTATTTGGTGTGGAATATAATATGTTAAATAGTAAAATAGTATGATATCTGCGTTTCCGTGTATACTAATATTTGTTCAAGTACTTGTTACAGTATAAACAGATGTTTTTTGGTACCATAAACTCCATTATATATACTAAATACACTTCAGACCTGTTACTGTTATACTTAAACATAAATTACACCCCAAGTGTATAGATAAACCATTATTACTTGATGTACTTTATATTATATACTTAAAAACCAGACCGAAATCAAATTTTTGAATTGTGTACTGATATGATTAGACCTACTTCATTTCTTTTGGTCGCAATCAGCTTTTAATGTCGTCATAGCTGGTACGAAGGTGGTACGAAAACCGAGGTTAGAATCCGGCCTAGGACTATATAAAATAAATTTGTTGAGTGAAGACTGATAGATAATAATTTTTTTATAAACAGAGAAAATTAGTATTTATGTATAATGTTAATGTAAAGAATTTAGGTTAATTCACAATATGGTAAATGTCAGTGTTATTAAAGTAATCTGTAGTTACTAATATAGACCTGTATTACACAATATATATACTCTATAACTAACAGGATATCCGTTACCTTTCCTTCCAAAACAATAGTCTGGTACCATAAATTGGCTTTTTACTAAAACACGTATTTCACCAAAATATATAGATAATATATACTGTTTGCAACTGATGACATGGGTTGCTGATCAATCTGTGAACGTTGTCGATCTGACTGAGTGAATCTCTGTCTAAAAGATCGGATTTTGCCGGAAGTTTCCGCTAGTCTGTCAAGCATAAGATATTAAATGACAAATTTGTGTCTTGAACATTCTATCTTTATATTTCAGGACGAGATAATAAAACAGTATCAAGATGTCGCTGGATATAATATATTTAGTTCTAACTATAGTTTTTACAGTCTTGATTATTCTTACCAATGCTATCTTGATTAGCGTGGTGTTGTCTTCTGATAAATTACGATATTCCAGCAAACACTTGATGTTGGCCAGCTTATCTATTGGTGACATAATTATGGGGTTGTACGTAGGACCTGTTCTTATTGACGTGTCTATGTGGAGCAGACCAATGATATGTCATGCTCAGTTAGCATTGGAAGTCACCTACAGCATCGTCGTGCCTTTTGTAACAACGATGTCAATTGCCATGTTGAATCTGGACTATATTGTTAATATTGGTTCTGAATGTTATGGAACTGGAAAGATCCAGTATTGTATGAAATCTGTTCTACTGTTGTTACCATGGTTACTGGGAATCGGAGTGATGGTTCCATTATTTCTGTTAGCTATAGAAAATTTGGGATCCACGTGTTCGTTTTTATTCGATATTAGTGAACTGCAACATTTATTCTTGATAGTGACGTATTTCCCTGCCGCCTTCCTGGTAGTTGTTACGTCACTTGCAGCTGTTTTCACCTACCGCTGTATGTGGAGATCAATTCGTCTGACGGACACCCGACCTCTTTACATCGATATGCAGCCACCAACTGATGTGTGTTCTGCCAGTTTTCTAACAATTTTACTTTATTCACCCATAGCCGTGATGTTGGCTTTTGGGAATGACATTATTAAATGCCCAAACCTGGAGGAAAATTGTGATGCATTTTGTTGGATTCAAGTTGTAGCACAAATACTATTCATTGCCAAGTCGTTCATTTTACCATTTATTTGGATAAAATGTACTTATTTGAGAAAGGCTGCCAAAAAACTTGTTGAAAAAGCGTAATGAGAAATGAAGTTGAAACACTCGTAGACAGTGTTATCTTTATTACTGTACTCATTTAACCTACATAATTTATTTTATCAATGTTTTTTACTTTTTGTGGGTATTGAATATCTTTCAGAAGCCGATTCAAACCGTTAAACTCGACATATATTGTCGATGATATTGTTTTATCATATACACATAATGTAGCCCATAATGTAACTGTTGTAACTAGTATCAAAGTAGCTGTTATGTCAGCTGGTGATCAGCTAAAGTCGGAAAAACGTGATACACTTTAACCGTAAATGCTAGTGATAGGTTCAACTTTTCTGATGAGGAAAAGTAACTGAAATATTGTTTTCATAAAAAGAAATCGATTTAGTCAAGAAGATTATTAGAAATTTAAATGGTTGTAGATGTGGCATTATTCTTATCCCTAATACAAAAAGAAGTGACATAAATTGTTGTATTAATTAGTTGAAAGCTACCAATATAACATTATGGTTTGTAACTTGTTATACCCAATGCTGTATTATTACAACTAATGCAGACTCATTCTCAAATATAAATGCATATTTAATTGTCATTTTGTGATTTTCCTGTTATGGACTCAACCATTTAACAGGTTATGTGGACTCTCCAAAATGCCAAATGAAAGAAGTTTAAGGCCTAAAATGTAAAATAACAACGAAGAAAAAGTATGTGATTAATCTGAATCCAATTAATAGATAAAGATAATCGACACTGTTTATCTACCTTGGATTATTCAGCTTGAATTATAAAGTACATGTATTTGAAACAGATATCTCTCAATCTTATCACCAAATAACACTTTACAGATTACAAGTTTTACATAGTCCTTGATAAGTTATGCATTGTTATGTTTCTAAAACTTTTAACTCCACAAGTAATCATTGATTATCGAACTGTCAAAGCAGTCAACGTTTGTACAATCTTATGCACGCTTGGCCTCTGAATTACATTATATGAAAGTGCCCAAGTACAATAATATGTACTACCACCATTTTTCAAGCACTGTCAATTACTCCTGGTCTCTCAAGTACAAAAGATTACTACCAGTGTCCAAGCACTGTCAATCACCCTTAGTCTCCAAGTACAATGATCTACCAAAAGTCTTTAAGCACAGACAACTACTATCAGTCTCCATGTACAATCATCTACTAACAGTCTTCATCCAAGTACAATCATCTACTAACAACCTTCAAGCACTGCCAACTACTATTAGTCTCCAAGTACAATCATCTACTAACAGTCTTCAAGCACTGACAACTACTATTAGTCTCCATGTACAATCATCTACTAACAGTCTTCAAGCACTGACAACTACTCATAGTCTCCAAGTACAATCATCTACTAACAGTCTCCAAGCACTGACAACTACTATTAGTCTCCATGTACAATCATCTACTAACAACCTTCAAGCACTGACAACTACAATTAGTCTCCAAGTACAATCGTCTACTAACAGTCTTCAAGCACTGACAACTACTATTAGTCTCCATGTACAATCATCTACTAACAACCTTCAAGCACTGACAACTACTATTAGTCTCCAAGTACAATCATCTACTAACAGCCTTCAAGCACTGACAACTACTCTTAGTCTCCAAGTATAATCATCTACTAACAGCCTTCAAGCACTGCAACTACAATTAGTCTCCAAATACAATCATCTACTAACAGCTTCAAGCACTGACAACTACTATTAGTCTCCAAGTACAATCATCTACTAACAGCTTCAAGCACTGACAACTACTATTAGTCTCCAAGTACAATCATCTACTAACAGCCTTCAAGCATTGACAACTATAATTAGTCTCCAAGTACAATCATCTACTAACAGTCTTCAAGCACTGACAACTACTCTTAGTCTCCAAGTTCAATCATCTACTAACAGCCTTCAAGCATTGACAACTACAATTAGTCTCCAAGTACAATCATCTACTAACAGCCTTCAAGCACTGACAACTACTCTTAGTCTCCAAGTACAATCATCTACTAACAGCCTTCAAGCATTGACAACTACAATTAGTCTCCAAGTACAATCATCTACTAACAGTCTTCAAGCACTGACAACTACTATCAGTCTCCAAGTACAATCATCTACCAACAGTCTTCAAGCACTGACAACTATTATTAGTCTCCAAATACAATCATCTACTAACAGTCTTCAAGCATTGACAACTACAATTAGTCTCCAAGTACAATCATCTACTAACAGTCTCCAAGCACTGACAACTACTATTAGTCTCCAAATACAATCAACTGCAATCAACTACCATCAGTGTCCAAATACAATCAACAACCTTCAGTTGTCACTATCAATCACTCTGATAAATTTTTATATATTCATTACTTTTTTTCAAGAACACAAAACTAGCACGTGTTTCATTTTATTAAGTACATGTCTTTCTAACATTTTAAAGTTCATTTTAAAGTTCATTCATCAGTTTGTTTTAGTATTTAGTTTACGACACACTGATCTAAATAAGTAGGTGTGACATACTAGATTTCAGAGTAAATATAATAATTTAATATTAATTTATATATTATATTTGTTTGTCTCCGGTAGCTAATTATACAAACGAATCACCACATAAGATATACCATTACAGAAATTAGATTAGAGTAGTCAAGACAACTTTCCAAACACAATGATAAACATCAACATAGGTAAAGCTGGCTTGCTCGTTGGATTTGGATCTTTGTACGCTAATACTGTTGTGTCCAAACTCTAATCAACAAACTGGAATACCAATTTCTTTTTAAATCGAATCAAACCAGGAAATTTATAAGTAAAAACATGGGTTGTGGTGGAAGTAAAAGTTCTCAAGTAGCGGAGAGTAAAGGTAAAACGGATCAGACAGCTTCGAAATCAGAATCTGCAGAAACCACAGTAGCGCAAACAAAAAACCAGCCAGAGGAACAAACGACAACTCAAGCAGAGCAAACGACAATTCAAGCAGAGCAAACGACAACTCAAACAGAGCAAACGACAAATAAAGAGGAACAAGAGGAAACTAAACCTGTCGAGTCACAAAAAGGTAAGAAATTTTGAACACGTTATAATGTCAAATTATGACTTTTTGATCATCATGTCAGTCTGATAGTTCTGGACTTACCAACGATCAAAGGAATACTCACTCTTCCTTTACTTATTTGACTGAAAGACTGTGTATGAGATCATATTATAGTTATTTATCAAGAGCCTCCTGTACTGATAAAATTGGTCAACGTCATGCAGAGTGCGACAAGGGAAAATTTGCCAAAAGAGTAGCAAACTGTCCAGGGATCTTCACACGCACAGTCTGCAGCACACTGAATCTTGGTTTATTGTCTGATTTGAACCACTCTCCTCCAAGGAGTCTTTGTCAAGTAGTAAGTCTTCCTGCATGTCAAGGAAGAAAAGGTAAAAAAATCTTAAGGTATAATCTTGACCGATGGTAAGGTCGAGCGAGCGACCATGCAATTCCAGCTCCCTGAAACTTTAAAACTTTAAGGACGGAAGGATTGGAGGAGTCTTCTGTTGTGGAGAGCATAGCGAAAAAAAACCAATCTAGTATATAACATGACAGTTTCTAGTCTTGTCTTGTCTTGTTCTTGTCGTGTTCCTGTCTTGATTTGTCGTCTACCCCTTTGGACAGATTGTCTCATATTGATATTCAAATTTCTAAATTACATTACATTATATAACTTGCATTTACCTTTAATATAAAGTACTTAAATACGATCCTATTTACACGAAAATCTTCCTATGATTATATATTAGTTAATAATAAACATAATAAATTATATACTGATCATATTACATCATAACTCTATATGAATATATCAGTTACCAACAAAATATAAAAGAATAAGGTAGATAAAAGATCAAACTAATCAAAGTATTCATATGAATAAATTTATATGCATGGTATCGTGTAATATAGCTTCCTTGAATTGCACCCTTAACAGAGTGTCATATTGACGAATAACGACATAAAATTAGATGGTAAATTTTTAATATAGGTGGAAATTAGTCAATTACTCAAACCCAAGAACATTGTATATTGAAATAGTAGAACAAAAAGATTATATTGATCTATCAATCAATACCATTTATATTAAATATTTTATATTACTATTGTATTTAATCACCTTGTTTATTATACTATCATTTTAGTTTCTCGCCAGATTTATTGAACATTCATTAGATCCCACCATGATAAATGACCGTTTGAAACATTTTGTTTTAGGTTAATGATATATATCTTTTTCCCCTTTGCTACTTTGATAAAAAAAATTTATTTGGCGTGTGGCTTGTTGCATAATTATATCACATTGCATCCAATTGGGGTTAATGCCGACGCAGATATTTCAATCTTTGATACCTGAGACGAGTCTAAATGAAAGCACTGGTCTAGGCCACAGAGCAATAGATAAGCTTATTAATTATGTGAAAATTAGTTAGTCTTTAGTAAGATTTTAGTTGAAAAGACACACACACACACAAAAATACATGTACTCTGGCTTATTTGGTATGAGGGTTGTAATACAGAAGTGATATTTATATATTTTGTAGATGGAACTACAGCGGATAACCAACAAGCTGCTGAACAGATAGAAGCAGAAGAAACGTAATTTCAACTGTTCAACAAAAAAAAAAAGGTACGAACTAGAAATTATTGGTTACAGACTTTTTGGTATCTCATGTGTTTGTTTAATTCACTTATAACCTCCAATTTTTTAATCTTTCATTTTTTCAGACTGTATTTTTGGAATGTGGAATTTAAAAGAAACATCCAAAGATTTAATAATCTTTTGATTTTTTGCTGAATACCTTTGTCAATTTAAACAACAACGACTATTTACTCCTCACAACTATGTATATACAACAACGAGATCATTATTATTATTTGTAATATGTGGCAAAATTAATTAAAACCCGTCTTCGAATAGCTTTTAAATCGAATCATTGCCGTGTCATTTATTAGAATTGATCTTGAATTGGTTCATCTGAATTCTCATTTAATCACACTTAAAAATTGTTTAAATACCTGCAAAATAATATGGGATTGGTATTTTTAACGTTGTAATTTCCGGATAAGGATAAAATTAAAAGTAGGGTTTCAGTGGCGCGCTAAACAACAAAACATGGGTACACAAGCAAATTCCATTTAATATTCCAACAAGTATTTCTATCTATCTGTGATATATATTATATTGTCCATTTAAATAATAATTGTTAACTGTATATTAATATTGATGAAAAAATTATCTGTATTCTTGTATATTGTTATGCCGTGGTATTTCTTTATGGACAGTACAGCATGTCATAACCTTGTCACCTAAAGCTCAATAAATAAAACAGGTACCTCCTTATTCCTTATATCTTTGAACATTGACTTAGATATAGAACAAATAAAAAGAATGAAACAGATGTGTAGTAAAAATTTCGCAACAAACATTAGCGTAGCTACTTACATGGGGGCAAAGTATGGATTGCCCACAATCGTCAAATTCCATTACTTCGAATAAATACCCTACCCCTCCGTATATATTACTTAAAGGGTTATAGTTTTTTTTTAAATATATGAAAGGAAAGAGTACTTCATTTCGGAGCGTGCGCATAAACCACTCGGCCGCCGAGACTTACGGTTAAGATTATTAGCGAGGATTATGATTGGGTTTAACCCAAGGGATAACTTGGAGAGGTAATTATTTTTTTTTAAGTAAACTGGGTTTAGTTCAGGTATGGAACTTAAGCTTTTTTGAAGCATTTTTGTGAAACTAATTTTCAGCATAAGGTGAAATTTGTTTTTTCATCCATGATATTGTCCCCATGGGCTGAATGTTAGACAGGACCATGCCCTTGCGTATTGGACCTAATTATGACCCATGTCAAATAAAGAGTTTATAATTATACTTGAACTTGGTAGGGTACCCCATGGACAGCTAGGCCTATTACTGTGTAACAATTTACCAGGCACAACTTCATTTATAAAGTTTCATTTTGTTTTATAGTTTAATTAATTGATGCCGTCAACAGTTTTAATTCATGTATATATATCTTCAAGGGATTGTAAAGAGGTTATCTTAACATTTTATGTGCATAAGGACCCTGCAAATCGATGCTCTCATTGTCACTGACTTAAAAGCAAGAAAACCTCTGCACATTTAAAGAAATATCCAGGATCCATTAACAGAAACTACATGGACATGGGTAGATTTAATTCTTAGATAATCAAGGTTACTTCTATATAGGTAAAGATATCACTGTCTAAATGTACATATAAAACTCATACATATCAGTAAGTAATATTCAATATTCTATATAAAGAATTGTATAATTTTAACGTATATATTATATTATAAACTATTAAAATAGTATTTAGCCCATTAAAAAATAATTTTCACAATTTGATAATTACAATAACAAAGAAAATACTCTATTGATCACTCACAAAACAAAAGGCACAAAGATAATTCAAAGATAAGATTTAGATGTCCTAGTAAAATGTAGTCATTGATCTTTGACTTCTCCCAATACAGCTATAGCCTCTATCTCAACTAATCCATTCTGAAATATGATAAGAATACCTTTCACATGTATTTACTTTACTTTACTCCTAATAAAATTTTTCCATTTATTTAAAGCACAGTACAAAAAATTACAGATTATATTGATATTGATATTAGTTTCGATGACTAGACAATAACTGACAACTGTAGCGACTGTAGCCAAAATTATTACCAAAGTTTACTGATTGTAGTTACCAATCAAACAATTTTGGATCATATTTCTTACCAATATGGTGACAATCGAAACACGTTCTGGGAGTGTTTCTTGATGCCCATATTACACACATCAAAAGTTTCTGGGTTCAAATGAGTAAAATATAAATGCTATTTGCAAGGAAAAGAATTGATTTGAGGAGATTATCCATATTATTACCTTTGGAAGGGCAGCAACTTGATAGGCTGCTCTAGCCGGAAGTGATTTACTAAAATCTAAAAAGAAAAAAACGTAGTTTATACAAAGTATTATTCACAAGTATTGACAGAAGTATCAGAGGGCCAGAGTAATGGCCACAAAATTGTCAAAGGGAGCTCACATGCAATTTCTTTCCCTTTCCAATATAAGAAATTTAAAGTAGAGGTGGCTGGTGGTGTGTGGTAGCTGGTCTAGCTTCATTTTTGAGGGGTCAGGGAGGGGCAGGGAGTTTGTGGAAATGAAACACCACTAAGAAGTACAATTATATCAAATAATTACATTATATATTAGGTTAAATATGGGTTGTTTTGATTGGATTGTACTCACATTTAGAATAAACTTCATTTACTTTGGTAAAATCATTAATATCTTGTAATAATACTGTACATTTAACAACTGAAATTTTACAAAGAAATAATTTTCAATGCAAGTAACTCTAAATTGAATAAAAATTTGATTATGGATAGTTTAAATTAAATTTATAAATTATGTCATGTCTGACTTGAGCCACAAAATATCTACTTTATGATATTGATCATCATATTTCCTCTAATACAATTGCTTAAATCCTTGAAAGGCCTTTTCAGTGTTTATCTTGTCTATAAGAAACTAAAAACATTTATGACTACCGTTGTTGAAAGTTGCACCAGCAGCTTCTAAAATTGCTCCCATATTCTTTAACGCCTAGAAATAAAAATAAAATGGTAGGCTTACTGTGATACTTAAAGGTAGGCCTACTCAGTGAATCAATGCAAGGATAGACTTTGATAGACTTCAAAATTTCTATAATATAGTCCAGTAAACCTAGGTACACTTATAGTACCGTAAGTATATATGCTGTATACAAAGCTGACACTAGGCCTACACTAATCTAATGTACAAACCTGATCGGCTTGCCCAACTGCTCCACCTTCCACCAATTCCATAGTTTCTGGATTAAATCCTATCTGTCCAGAAATATACATAGTATTATCAGCAACAACTGCTTGACTATAAACACAAAAAATAGTCTCAATAAGAAATTATATAGGCCTTAATGAATCTTAAGAAAGTTCAGATTTGCACATTATGTGCATTTTGGCCACAATTGAGCTCAAAGACACACCAACCAATTCATTTCCTTCTGAACATAAGTCCATAAGATATACAGATATACATGCCTCGAGTCATTCCAAATTAATATCACAGTTACCTATAAGGCCCTACAGCTTTAGGTGCTTTCGATGTATGAATTATTCTTCTAACAAATCCTGACATTTTGGTGGTAATCTTGAAATGATGATATGGATTGTCAATATCTTCAGTAGACTTGTTAATTTCGGTTACCTCCCATCATATAAAGGTGTCACGAATATGGTGTGTGTAATCTACTAGCCATCTGGACTGGTCGTAGTTTGGTGCATTGAGTTATAACTCTATAGTTGGGTGTCAGATGCTACAATAGGCTAAATAAAACTACGCAAGATGCATATTGTTCAAGGATAAAACGTTTCAAGTGAGAAATAATGATTAACAGTAATTGAGTTTGCAAAATACATTCCATAGGCTACGTATCCAGATATCCACCTATGAAATATACACTTAGATTCTAATACAGTGCTATTTTTCACGATAGCATTAACATCTTGAAAATCAATGCATTCATCCAGACAAGAAGAGGGTAGACTACAACTCCATGTCATTGAGGCTACGTTTCCAGAAAGGTTGGTCATTGTTCGGCTGTAAAAAGACACACCCCTCAACTGATCAACTGATCGCAGCGCCCACTAGTTACAGCACGTTGCTTGACAAGTTCTGTAAATGTTTTAGTTTCACACATTTCTGTTGATAAAACGCTTGTTAAGAACAATTAAGCAAGGCACGATAAAGAGTATTCATGCCCACAGTTTTGGTTATCGTAGCAAAGGGTGATTTGTTATTTTGATGAGAGGTGTGTTGAGAATAAATTTTACATGTAAAATTTAGCCTGTGGTGTAGTCCGAGATATACGGGAACACACACTGAATTAAGTGAATAAACACCGCATCCGATAAGATTTTGGCGACTAGTCGCCTGTGGACTTTGGAGGAAGGTCAAACTTAGAATATCACTTGGTCATTTAAAGATCAGACTGGTAACTGCCAATGAATAAGCCAATTCGGTATTATACGTGCGCATGCGCAACACACTGATTCTCCTCTAATCAATCTAGTTCTTACGCCTCGGGATAAACAACGTCGATTTAACATGCAGTCTATGGCCAGCGACGGACAAAGATTTCATATAAACTGTTAGCTACATTGAAAAATATCAAGTTTTCTCAGCTCACGACATACATCACAAGTCTGAATCACAAGTCTGACGATTGTAAATGCAGTAAACCCTTTGTACAAGATACTTGGCAGTTTTGTCCATAAAGCTGCCCTTTCTCTGAAGGGTGGGGGTAAATTTTATCTGAAAGTATCAAGATGCAGATTAATTAACTCTGATTATAATGATGTAAACTATAATTAGTTTTGAGTTAATCAGATTTGTGAAGGACAGAAGTTGGCAATTTTACCGCATTGACATGCTATGCTATGCTGTTACGTTTGTTTGCATTATGAATCACGTTCTGGTTTCAATATGGCCTGACGTGTGAATAAGGTCTATTATTGATATAGGATTTATCAACTCAAATAAAATCTGACCCTTAGCTTTAAATTTATTGCTATTTATTTTGAGGTAGAAAAAAGACATATTCCAACTTTTGTTTGGAAGAAACAACATTTACTACCCTATTATTTGTAATTATCCTTGGATGGCTGGTTTTTAATTTCTGAAAAGTATAATTGACAATCACAGAACTAATCTATCGTTTTTGTTGGTTTTATCTTAAATCTTTGATTATTAAAGCTAGAAAGTTACAAATTGTTGATTGTGACAGATAAGAATATCTATGTTAGTCGAACCAACTATTTTTTAATTTTGTTGATAAGGTGATAAACCAAAAGATCATTTATTATAAGGATAAGCTTGAGTCATTATTATTGGTACAATTATGCTTACAGAATTTGACCTGATGTGATGAAAGATCAACATGACTAGTAAATCTAGTAAGAAGAGAAATTTGGACAATGGAAAGGAAGACAAGTTGTGTAAGAATAAAAAATCTCGAATTGATGTTTATGATGTTGTTATGCCAAGGGGTAAGCTTCTTTGGGTGATTTCCTTTTTATTCAGATCATATAAATGATGAAATCTACTTCTGACACCTCTTACGATAAATAATGAAATGGTGTAGTAGAAACTGATATAGTTTATTTTAATGTTTAGTAAATTTCTATAAGTAAGAATAATTATATGATGAAATCTACTTCTGACACCTCTTATGATAAATAATGAAATGGTGTAGTAGAAACTGATAATATTCACATTATTTAAATTGATGCATAAAATAATTTGAAAGTGATGAATATCATTCCACCCTTCTTGTGCATCATTAGGTTTTTTACACATATATATATATATATATATATATATATATATATATTAGAATTTGAAATTTTATGATTGTCTCTTTCAGAAATCAAAGTTTATAGGTTTGCAGAAAGCAGGGCATCAGAAATCAATGCATTGCTTCAAAACATTCATCACATAGGAGGAAACAGAGTAATTTTCCAAAAGTTGCCTAGACATTTACGTCGACGTGCTATGAGTCATAACATCAAGAGACTTCCCCGGAGACTGAGAGAAGCTGCGCTTATTGAGGTATGTAGGTCTGTAATATGATACATCACAAATCTGACAAAAGGTTTCTTATGTTGAAAAAGCACTCGGCATAAGGTAAACGTTCCAACTGAAAATTATTGTATGAATTTTGATTTTTTTTTTTTTCAGTATAAAAATAGGCCCGAAACTGGTACTAAAAGACCTAGTAGAAAACATAGACGAAGACCTAAGAATTTATTAGCTGACTATGTTAGAAGGCAGCGTAGAGTTAAATGGCTTGAGACTCACATTTGGCATGCAAAACGATTTCATATGACAGAAAAATGGGGATATAAGTTACCTGTTCGACCTACTGATAGAAGTTATAGAGCTTGTTATAGAGCTACAGTTAACCATTGCCTTTTACAGGTAATGTAGCTCTAAGGTTACATCTTCGAAATAATGTACCTGTGAAATCTTTAGAAGTGATTTCTGTTCTAATTTTTTGGTGTGTAGACATTTTTAGGCTGTCATTAAGTGTCATTAATAAAATCTTGGTAAATTTAATAGAAATATAAATTTTCTGAAATGAATGGAACTGCAAAGTACCTGATGAGGTGAAAACACAACTTAAATTTACATTTTTAGAAAGAATATTGACATTGATAAATCTGATGAGGTCCTAAATGTCAGAATGACACATTCCTGACTTTACTCATGCAAGGAGTCATTTTATTTTCAGGATGTATCTTATGAATGTTGTATTGAAATATGTGGATACGAAGATGTTATTATTCAGTGTTTTAGTCATTTATTGACTAATCAAACAGGTTTGTACTTTTTGGATTTATTTGTCAATTTTCAAGAAATTAATGTTTAGTAAATTTCTATAAGTAAGAATAATTATATGATGAAATCTACTTCTGACACCTCTTATGATAAATAATGAAATGGTGTAGTAGAAACTGATATAGTTTATTTTAATGTTTAGTAAATTTCTATAAGTAAGAATAATTATATGATGAAATCTACTTCTGACACCTCTTATGATAAATAATGAAATGGTGTAGTAGAAACTGATATAGTTTATTTTAATGTTTAGTAAATTTCTATAAGTAAGAATAATTATATGATGAAATCTACTTCTGACACCTCTTATGATAAATAATGAAATGGTGTAGTAGAAACTGATATAGTTTATTTTAATGTTTAGTAAATTTCTATAAGTAAGAATAATTATCTGATGAAATCTACTTCTGACACCTCTTATGATAAATAATGAAATGGTGTAGTAGAAACTGATATTGGGTCCCAGAAACTTGTGGGTCTGTCATTCGTATAAATTTGTTGGATACAGTTAATGCTAATACCAATGAACATTTCATGTAAAAACTCACAAGTTGAATTAAAGGAATTGTAAGTGGTAAAAAAAAAGTGTTTGATGATGTCACTCAATATGCTTTATGCAATTAGTGACATCTTCAACACTTTTTTTATGGAATTGCAGGAACCACAGAAATCTGATTGAAAACTAGAATGGTGCAAATTGTAGCTAAAAAAAACCTCTTTACAATCTCTTTTAAGGGATTGTAAAGAGGTTTTCTGAATTTTTTATGTGTATTGGGGACACTGATAGCTACAATTTGCACCATTCCAATTTTCATTCTGACGTCTGAGGTTCTTGCAATTCCACTAATACTACCACATTTTATGATGTCACTGGAGGGGAGTTGCCGGCAGCTACTATTGATATCTATGCAGTTCTCCTCTAGTGACGTTTTAGTGGAATTGCAAGAACCACAGAGTGAAACTTGGAATGTTTGCAAAATGATGCTATCAGTGTCTCTGATACACATAAAAAGTTTAGAAAACCTCTTTACAATCCCTTTAAGTGTTTATTTATGATTCATTCTAGGTTCTACAATAGGTGGAGCTGCTGTCATCAAAGGGAATCGTCAAGGGCAAAATATGCTATATAGTTATGAACAATATCCTGAACAGGCAGTAGGACAGGTTTCTTTTCTCTGGAACCCTGAAGTTATTAGCCAGCAGAATAAACTAAGACAAGTTTGGCTCTGGTGCCACCCGTCCTGTTATAGTGCTATCTGGTATGAAATTACTAATGCATTCCAATCTGAAAATTTACTCATGGAATCTGTTAAGATGACCGAAAATTGTCTTTATGATAAGCAAGTGAAGATAGGAGAAACAATAATAACTTCATTAAAAGATAATTTAGTGAAATTCCGTTTAACTGGCCCATTGAGCCATACAATATTGATTGATTCATTGAAACCAGCACAAGTGGGTGGTATAAACTGTCAAGATTCCTGGTGGCAAAAATACTATAAAAGCAAGGCTAAACAATCGAAAGGGCAAGTTGCGTTGTGGAAGGAGCTTCAGGGATGTCAATCACCAGCAGAGGTTCCACCAAGAATGATCTTGCCTCTTACAGTAAGGGATCCTAGATTATTTCTTCCTGATAAAAAGACAAAACTTAAACTGCAACTTGAAGGTAAGTTAACATGGTAGGTTCTAAAATAAAGTATCCTCTGATCACAGTGAATTGAGCAATTTTTAAGCTATAGTCCTGTTGCACATGAGGGCTTGTTGAAATATATCTGTATTGTATATTTGCTTTGGAAATAAAGTTAATTTCCATCAGCAAAGAAGGCTTCTATTTTAGGTTGCTAAAATCTATAAACAACAGACTCATTCTTCAGCTTGTTACCCTTCAGAGGTCTGTTCGGTCTGCATTCAAAAACGATGTATCTGTAACTGTTTTATACGCCCACATCTTCCATGTGGACGTATATTGCTGTCGCCCAAACTGTCCACCCGTCTGTTCACATTTCTTGTAAACACCATAAAGGCTAATGACACTTGGTATGCATAGCATAAAGGTTTTGAACTACAAATGCATTACGAAGATCTTCATTATGAGAAATTTTGTATTATGAAGATCTCTAATATATTTTTAGTTAATAAAAATTTAGTTATGATTTTTTTGCCCACTGCCAGTGGGAGTATGTTATCTGGCAAGCTATCTTTTTTGTTTGACCTAACTCTAATCTTTTTTTTGAGGAAAGTATTCAATATACTTATATAATAAGTTGAGTCCCTATTGCAATGTCGTTTTATGTCAGAATTTCTTTCAAAACTATCTTGAATTTATTTGTTCTATATAATACACAAAACTGGATAGCTCAAGTGGCAGAGCGTTGATTATTATAATCAAGAGATGTAGGTTCGATTCCTGCTCCAGTTCATGACAATTATCCAATGCACTTTGTCCTTTCAAATCTGTTTTAAAGGGATATAGCCATCTAAATATTCATTTTTTCAGCAGATGGCTGAATTTCAGTTATTGTGGAGAAATGTTTGTTGTCTGATTCATCATAAACTATGATATTTAAGATAAAATATACAATATGGTTATTCTCATGTGTACTTATCGATAATTTCCCTGATTACAGACCCATCTGAAAATTGAAATGTCAGTGTGCACATATCAACTTAAAAGTGAATAATTACAGGATTGTGTTAGTATAAGATTTGAGTTAATATGTTCTGTATTTTTATAGGATTAAACACCAATGATATAAAATCATGTCTACCCAGTCCTGATCTACTCAGTTCACCACTGTGGAATCTAGATATTAGAAAAGAAGTGAAAGAAACTAAAATAACAGATGCAGAACTCAATAAAATGAGATCTCATCTTGTGGTTCCAGGTAATGTGTATTCTTATTTTTCTTCGACAAATGATGAAGTAGAAGATAATATCATGGACTAGCATGTAAGTTATTATGCCACTGTCGACAAAAAGTTGGTAGTCCTTTTCTCAATTCTGTAAAGATGGCGTGAAATATTCTAGCAGGGTCCACATCAACTGGACATTTTTAACAGCTACTAGTTTCTGAATGTACTTTTTATGTTAAACAATGTTATTTTAGGTTCAGCATTAGAATTAGGAGAAAAAGAATCAAGAATTCCTGTCCTATTGATACAGAGACCTGGTAATCAACAATCTGATGCAGGAAGATTAGGTTATGGTAGTGGATGGGATATAGTAGTTCCATCTGGTTGGGGAATGGCTTTTCACATAGCATTTGTTTATAGAGGAGGACGTACAGGGGGTCTACAAGAAGCTGAAAGTTTAAATGCTGAAATGGGTGCACTTCATTCTCCCTCTGATCAAATAGATACTCCAGCAGGCAAAGCAGAACAAACAAAAGTAGCTACTGAACTTTTAGATAAATATAAAAGATATCCTCCTGATAAATGTCCCAATTATTTCAAGTTGGGTGTGCCTTCTCCATTTTCATGTTCTTGGAATGGTTTAGTTAAAGCTTGGAAGGATCAGTTTCAAGACACATCAGACTTTTCTGACCAATTTTATGTTTTAAGAAATAAAAAGGAATTGAGGAATATTTCTAAAGTTATTTCAAAACGTCTACCTATTGCTGAGAGAAAGGAGGACCCTGAATGTGAAGTATTAGAGCAAATGAAATCATTACTGAGTAATCATGTATATGCTCTTATACCTGTTCAAATTACTGTGCGATATAGAGGAATTCCATCAAAGTTTTCACATGTCTGTATCCCTTCAACTGACGATCTGAAACTATTATCTACAAATTCCAAATATGGTGGACCAACAGAAACACTTCATGAAGATCATAATAAGGGTCAACAGAAGGTGAAAAATAAGAAAAGTAGACCTAAGAAAAAGAGAACAGAATTTTTGCCATCTGATACTGTTGATTTGACCCTGAATGATAGAAAAACTATTGGCTTTGTTAACTGTGGACGTTTTGTATTCGGACAGGGACAAGGGTCAGGATTGGCATTCTGTTCCCTTCTTGGACTAAATGAATTAATGAACAGAAGTCCATTTAATGTTGATTTGTGTGTATTGATAAGAAATCCTACATCTTTGCAGTACAGATTTGCCTCTCTGTCTATTCATGTATAAAATTGAACATATGACTTATTGTATTGAACAGAATTACATTTATATTATAACATAACATATTAAAAAAATTTAAGCTTGCAATGTCAAATGATCAGAAATTCAAATACACTTAAATGCAGCATTGCAAGATTTTAAAGGGGCAGTATGTGAAACTGTCATTAATGAAAATTTTGTGAAAAGAATTCTAAAATATGTATCTACTTGTCCAACCTTTATTTTTTGTTGAAACCTTTGGAATTAATAGAAAAGATTTTCTCTACAATTTGGTGTTTTTATATGCCCACTTTCCCTATTCGTCCGTCTGTCACAATTGACTTGTGTACGCTATAGAGACTACAGTTTTTATATGCCCACATAAATATGTGGTCGTATATTGTCGTGGGCCCGTTCGTTAACATTTCTTGTGAGCTCTATAGAGACTACAGTTCAGTTTTCATCTGACTTTGATAAAACTTAGTGTGATGCTTTAGATTGATAAGATCTCGGTCAAGTTCGAATTTGACGAATTTTCGATGAACGGTTTTTGAGTTATTGCCCTTGACTTTGTAAAAACGCGTCAAAATTTGTTAAAAATAGTTCGTGAGCAGGATTGAAGCTACAGTTTTCAACCGATTCTGATGAAACTTGGTGTGATCATTGGAATTGATAAGATCTCGGACAAGTTCTAACTTGACGCATTTTCGATGAACGGGTTTTTAGTTATTGCCCTTGACTTTGTTAAAATGTGTCGAAATTTGCTAAAAAATAGTTTATGAGCAGGATTAACGCTACAGTTTTCAACCGATTCTGATGAAACTTGTTGTGATCATTGGAATTGATAAGATCTCGGACAAGTTCTAACTTGATGCAATTTTGATGAACGGTTTTCGAGTTATTGCCCTTGACTTTGTAAAAACGCGTCAAAATTTGTTCGTGAGCACAATAGAAGCTACAGTTTTCAACCGATTCTGATGAAACTTGGTGTGATCATTGAAATTGATAAGATCTCGGACAAGTTCTAACTTGACGCATTTTCGATGAAATGTTTTTGAGTTAATGCCATTAACTTACGAAAAACGCGTTAAAATTTGTTTGTGAGCACAATAGAAGCTACAGTTTTCAACCGAATCTGATGAAACTTGGTGTGATCATTGGAATTGATAAGATCTCGGACAAGTTCTAACAAGAGATATTTTTGATGAACATTTTTTGAGTTATTGCCCTTGACTTTGTAAACACGCGTCAAAAGTTGTTTTTTGCCCTTGATTAGAGCTTTTTGATTTAATTGTTTGTTGTATTTGGGTTATTGATATTGATTTTAAAAAAAATTGTGGAATTATTCAGCATGAATAATTTCTTCAATATGAGAAAATTGTTACTTTAGTCACTAAAGACTGTTTTATTTTTTTTGACAGCTGCCAGTGGGCGTATGTTACCTTGCAACGCAAGCTATCTTTGAGATATTACTCTTGACTTTGTTAAAACGCGTCGAAAATTGATAAAAATAGTTCGTGAGCTGGATTGAAGCTACAGGCTTATGAAAATCATGATGATGTGGGCCCGGGACCTACATTCTAATGCCGGGAAATATATCGACAGGTTCGAATCCCGTCTTGGGACATGAATCGTAATTTTCGAAATCGTTTATTTGCGAAACTTACATTTTTCAAATAACGATGCAAATTACGTTTACAATTATAAAATCGTTATCGTAATCGTAATCGTGTGTTTGCGAAACGTCTCTATTTAACCGATTCTAACGAAACTTGGTGTGATCATTGGAATTGATAAGATCTCGGACAAGTTATAACTTGACGCATTTTCGATGAACTGTTTTTGAGTTTTTGCCCTTGACTCGGGAAAAACGCGTCAAAATTTGTTTGTGAACACAATAGGGACTACAGTTTCCATCCGATTTGAATGAAATTTGGTGTGATGATTCATATTCATGAGATCTTGGTCAAGTTCGAATTTGACGATTTTTCGATGAGCGGTTTTTTATACGCCAACATGAAATGAGGGCGTATTTTGTCGTCTGTCCGTCCGCATTCGCTCGTAAACAGTCTACAAGGCACAATTCTTGATGGATTTCGACAAAATTCATTTACTGATAACTCTTGTCAACCTCCCGAACATATTAGCTGCCATTACAAATGTGGGCGTATTACGATGGTATCGCTATTTTTTTTTTTTTTTTTTTTTTTGCTAAAATCTGTACATTACTTTTCTTACACAATCCAAAATCATATCAACTTTAAAATTAACGTAAATCTTTTAAATAGTTTTGGCATTCTAGAAACCAACACATTTTTTTATTTCAATTTTCAGATTAGCTTAATGCCAAGGGATCTAGATTTTGGTCTAGAGTTTTCATTTATTTGAGCACTAAACTTTCATTGAAAATGAGACTGCCCCTTTAAAAAAAATATACTAGTCAAGCCCATTGTTTATTTTTAGGTATATGTACTTATTCAAAAATACTGTAAAAATTATGCAATTCGTGTCTCAAATATACAATACAAGTCATTTTGCTTTTGTTTACTTTGACCTCCCAGATAAATTGTTTTTGGTGTGGTCTTGTCTTGTCTTGTCTGTCCACAATTGTTGTTTTGATGGATTGTGACAAACATGGTTTGAAGGTTCGTAAAACAAATAGGAAAATATTTGATATGAGTTATTGCCCTTGTTCTTGAAATCTCATTCAAGGCACTATTCTCAACAGATTTTAAAGAAACTTGGTTGAATCACCCGAACATTACTGAAAAGCAGAAAATCGAAAAATATTGGATGAATTGGATGCTATTCTTACATGGTCATCAGAATCACGCTTATCATGCATTACAGATATATGATACCATGACAGATAGACCATTGGCCATTTATTTTATAATCTATTTTTCAAAGTCTAAAGTGATGGTGGTGGGTAACCAAATTTTCCAAAATATTAGTATGTTCATTCCAGTGGCGGATTTTGGACTTGTTGGGCCGTAGGCAAACGAACGGTAGAGGGCCTAATTTCTCATTTTAGGTAAGGGGCATGGTGTGACTGCAATTTTATGGCAGGAGTTTTTTTCTTTTTTTTTTCAGGAACAGATCAATCAGCTCATCAGCATCAATCGTATGCATGATATCGGCATTCGTCACCAGTCGGCTCAAACAATTTAGTCGATTCTCACACATCACGCCCCTGTAGGACAATTTTCGATGAGCCCGCGGAAATTTATTGACTATTTTATAATTTTTACTGTTACAAAATTTTGTCATGGGCCGAATTTTCCATGGCCGAAAGGCAGCTGCCTCTGGTTCATGCCCATCTGTTACGGATTAGTTAAAGACGAAGCCCCTCATGGTCAATTTCTTTTTGATTTATTTCTCGGAATTTAGAAAATGGCTGTTTTTTGTTTTGTTTTTTTTTGTTGACTGGCTGGCTGTAGCTTCCACGTTTGGAATCTCAACTACGATGGGTCATGTATCCCCAACGAGACAGTCCGCCCCATATTCGAACCCACCAGTTCATAGAAACTTCATAGAAATTTCGGTATAGAAACTGAAACCAACCATTTAATCTCAGCTGTGAATATCCTAAAATGTTCAAAATAAATGGCACCTTTGTTAGACGAAGCTCCTAGATGTTCTAAAATTACAGTAATGGGGATGGGATTTGGACCGGTATGCTGCGAATATCGCAAAATGTACAAAATAATGGGGTTTTCATTCCAAACTCCTGGAAGTGCTCAGTCAAAGACTATATGACAAATTTTGTATATCTATTTGACAAATCCTATAGTATATAGACACAGCTTTATGGAACAACAATCACTGGTTAAAGTTTTATGCAACGTTTCGACGTGTTTCCCCCGTCGTCCTCCAGCATTGGCCTTTGTATGTTTGAAATGCAGTAGGAAAACAATAAGCTACACTATGATATATGGTTATAATAAGTTTCAAGTTTGACTTTGTGAATACTTTTTGCATATACACCTTGCCTGGTGCCTTGAATTCCGCTCCTGTGTCTATTTTGGTTCTATATGGTTTTGGAAATTTGATAAAGAGTAGACTGGAATGGCAAAACAATTAGTTGAAATTATAATGTTACTGTTTGAGGTCTGCCTACTCCTTTTTTAATTTTTTTTATATATCAATTTAATCGCAATTCTTTTTTTTGTATTTAACTTATTCTTATACCGTCTTCAACTGTTGTAAATGCAATGGAAATGTGAAAGGGTCGAATTGCGAAAAAGAGCGAACTGAGAAATAAGCGAAGTGGGAATAAAGGGCAAAATGGGAAAGGGGCGAAATTGGAAAGGGGCAAATTCAAAAAAGGACGAATCGGGAACAAAATGGGAAGTGGCAAAATGGGAAGGGGCGAAATGGGAATAAGAAGGGGGCGAATTGGAAAGGAACAAAACGGAAAGGGACGAAATAGGAATAAACCGAATTAATATATAAAATTTTGAAGATAGTTATTTTTATCCTATTACACCATATCGCAATACGTATCGTATCGTGACCCTTGTGTCACGATACGTAGCCTATCGTATCATGGCATTTTGAGCTTGACGCAAAAAAATAATTCAAAGAGCCATCCGTTTTGAGAACACATGTAGGCTAAGCCGAAAATTTTATTTTCTAAGGCTTTGTATGAATTTGCTCTATGGTTAGTTCTTTATTGGGTTGGTGTACACATGTAATCGCAGCTTAATAACTGATGACAATTTTGCCGCCTTTTGCGCGACTGTCTACCAATTAGCGACTTTTAAGCTACGATTACATGTGCACAGTGGCGGAGAACCCGTCCCCCCACCCCCCGACCCCCCCCCCCCGGACGTAAACCTGGCTCTGCCACTGCATATGTACTAGGACACGTGTAAGTCGAAAATTTGATTTGTATAGGATTTGCCCTGGTCCGTTTATTTTTATTGAATCGGCATGCGTTTGAGTTTGAGTTTACGTTTGAGTTTACGTTTGAGTTTGAGTTTACTGTGCATCTAGACGAGCCAGTCTTATTGTTCTAAAATATACGCAATTATATTTAACAATTACTAAGCATTTAATAGTTTCAAACGATATTTGGAATGTGGAAAAATGAATGATCGAAAGTTCGAGAATTGGAATTTTCTCATAATTCTTTAGACTTTTATTTATAAATAGTAAACAGCAAATAATATTTCATAAGATTGCCTGGGAGAAAATTTTGTTTAGAATAAGGAAATGGTGATTATATTTGTCATTTTGAACAGATATTTTCATACTTTATCATCGAGTTATTGTTATTATCGCCCTTTGCCAAAGATAAATTTATCGCAAGGCGTCACTTTAAATTGTGCGTACGCGTCAAATGTGTCACATGATCAAATTGTGTTGGAAGCCATGTTGGATTCGCCTCTCTGTAATCTGCATTTTGTCGGCTGAAATTTTGTGAAAATTATATTGAAATAGTACTGATAATGTCATTTTAAATCGAAGACTAACCAAGTCCTTAAGAATGGCGCTTAGGAAAGTGAAAGGAACCCTGGATAGGGTCATGGATAAGAACTTACAGGATTTAGTTAGAGGGATACGAAATCATAAGGAATCTGAGGTATCAAGAAATAACAATAATAGCATACATAATGTATAATACAATTAAGGGGTGGGGCACTCAATATGCACTTTGACAGTTACTTTTGTAGTTTCATTTCTATTATATCTATATGACTGAATACTCCTGTAATTGTTATGTGTACCTCAGTTTGTGAAATACAGCTCAGTATGTCAAGAAAATAAAATCAATATTTCCTTTGACTTATTATATTCCATTTAGACCTGATCTAGTACTTGAATTCTTAAGCTTTGACATGCCTGCTATTAGGCCTGCAAGTCCTATCTTCTACAAGGCTGCCCTTTGCTACAAAGCCAGTTTTAGCATGTAGAGAAGTAAACCTGGATATTGTGTCATGTGCTGTTTTACAGCCATGAAATTTATAATGCCAGCAGCATAGGATATTTATTAGATGCACTACACATAATGTACTGTCAAATTCATATACACCTGTTTTATTTTGGTACCGTACCAGTAGTTTCAAAATTTCTCCTATTGCACAAAGCATGATGTCTTTAATCTGAATCAGACGTCTTTGGTCCTCATTGTCAATATGTTAGCCGATATCTATCTATCTTGCTTACCAAACATAACAATTGTTTCATGAAACTCCACATGCATAAAGTACTGTTTCCCTTTGTTTAAGGATCAATCCCGACATAATACTTTCAGAGTTTTCCCCCTGTCAGTGATGCAGGTTGGATGAGCTGACGTGGAAAAAACATTGAAGGGACAATAAACATGCTTCAGGCTGTGCACATTAAAGATCTCTCGAAAGTTAGAAATTGAAAAATGAGTTGGCTAATGCCATTGTCCTGGCAAAATTACCCTCATTGTACATTGCATGGCTTTTCCCATCTTCATTAGCCCATAAAAGTAGGATGAAAAACTCATTTCTTTTCATATCATGTATAGTACACATAATTTGTTTCTTGACTATGTTATTATAGCATTGTGAATCATCAGTCTCTGATGAATTTTCTGATGATATTCTAGACTCTGACAAATTTAGAGTATATCTCTGTCATTGCTTATTAAATAGATTGTTTAAAGAGATTTTCTAAATTTTTTATGTGTATCAGAAATACTGATATCATCAATATGCATCATTCCAATTTTCAATCAGAAGTCTGTGGTTCCTTCAATGTAACTAAAGTGTTTGGTGATGTTGCTAGTTGCGAAAGGTAATCCATAAAAGTCAATGTCACTAAATGGGATTCCTTGGAAATTTGAATGAATAATTTTGGAAATTTAAGAAAATTATATTTTTTAAGCATGCTTCTGAAAAATTGATATTGATTATTTGTGAAAGGACAGACTAAAATTCAAATCATGATTGAAGCGACCAGACAGAAAATGCTGTCTGTAAAATACTTCATGAATTTGGACAAATCAATTTTTTTTCCCCATTTGAAAAATGATGTTTTCAATGTAATCAATATGCATGAAAAATATGAGACAATCATCATTAAGTTGAGTTCTATTTCATGTTGTAATTATCTGAAATTAGTTTTTAGTATAGAAACATTACATATCACATAACTCATAACATATTCAATTACCCAGTGGAAATGATACATACAATATAGCATTTGTAAGCTTATGAGAAGGATGAATTATGAAGAGTTTCTTGATGTAAGGTTATAATATATACCATAATATAAAGGTTCTTGTATCCAATGTGAAAATTATCAGTTTTATTAATTTTTTCTCATTTTAGTCTAAGTATATAGCTGATTGTATTGATGAAATAAAACAGGAATTAAAACAAGATAATTTAGCAGTGAAAGCCAATGCTGTTAGTAAACTAAATTATGTAAGTACTGTTAATTTTTTTATATAGATTTTTCCTAGGGTTCAGACTGTCTGAAATCATTATTATGTGTTGTCCTGGTAATGGAATAAGCTTATTTTCCTCATGATCATGTTTGGAATATTCATAAAGAAGAAAATTGATGATTGTGCTGATCAGTGTATGTTAATTAAATCTGATATTCAGGGTAATGTTCTATTTGTAACATACTGATTTTTTATCTTTTTGATGGACTATTAGAGTTGAATGAATGCTTGTTTAAAATAACATGATCCTTGTGTTTTCATGTCAATTTTATCCTATTTCTATCTAAATTAATTTATTTTTTGAGAGAAAATGATTTATGAATTAAAGCGTACATTTTCTTCAGAAATATAATTTTTACATCAGAATGGTCTTTGATCCATTGATTCGTCTTTATGCATACATTACATTCATATTTCATTTATTTTAGCTACAAATGCTAGGATATGATATAAGTTGGGCAGCTTTTAATGTTATTGAGGTGATGAGCTCAACTAAATTTACATATAAGGTAAATATGTGAAATATTAGATATATTGATTTTGCAACTTAATAGTTTGAAACTGTCATGTTTACATTAAGAGAATATGAATTATATGAATGGGTGTAAACTTACATTTGAGATATTTACATAAAAGGGATTGTAAAGAGATTTTCTAAAAAATTTCAGTAAGGTTTCTGTGGTTCTCTCAATTACACTAAGTTTTAGAATTATTGCTAGAACTACAGACACCTGACTAAAAAATTGGAATAATGCAAATCTATGCTATTAGAACCCCGGTACACATGAAAAGTTCAGAAAATCTCTAGTATTTTTAAAATGGGATAATTATTTGTTCAATTATATCAAAGGGGGTTATTTTATTTGTATGGTTACATGAGGAACTGTTAACTACTTGTCTGAAACATGTGCTGAAAATATTTGAGCCCTCACAGTATAATGAAGCATGAAAAAATTAGGCTTAGGATAAATATAACTGTATAAATGTCTAAATTTTTTAGAGAATTGGATATTTGGCAGCATCTCAGAGCTTCCACGATGGAACTGATGTGTTGATGTTGACAACCAATATGATAAGAAAGGTAAGTTAATATAACACATGGTTATGATTACTATATTCTATTATGACATGAAGAAAATCAATGATCAAGTCTCTATAGTAATATAATTAGCTTATTGTATATTCTATAGATCATGTTGAGTAGTATTGAATTTTAGTTGATTGCTTTCCATATTCTTGGACTCATTCTTCTTCTCTAGTTTTAATTAAGTTATCCATGTAATTGGTTTTATGGTGATGATGTTGCAAAAATAGACACTAGTGTCAATAAACAAGAGGTTACAGCTGAAATTTAGAAATATGGAATATTTAAAGGGACAGGTTGGCCATCTGTTTGACCCATCGTACATTAGTCACAGAAACAGATTTTTTTTTAGCTAAGCTAATCAGTTATAGTGTTCACAGCTCACTGTCAAAAATTGAGCCTACCTTTGCTATCTGATTTTGTTGGCTTTAAAAAGAATTTACTTATTATATCTGACTTTTTACCTTAATACCTTAATCTTATATGTTAATGATTTCATGTCTTTCGGAAGTGAAGAGTCCTGAATATCTTTATTATTTTTTATTATTACAGGATTTAAGTAGTCAAAATATGTATGATGCTGGTGTAGCATTAAATGGTTTATCATGTTTTATAACAGTTGATTTAGCCAGAGATTTAGCTAATGACATCATGACATTGGTAAGTTGATATTTAATAATAGTTGAGATATACTGTTGCTGAATGATCTATTATCATGCCAAAAGATATTATTTTCAATCTGAAATGTATTAAGCTTAATTATAAACTTATTATTTTACATTAAGGACATTCTGCGAAAAATATACACCAAAATCCATCCATTAATTTCTCTAAGTGGATATTTAGTTGTGTCTAGTTCCTTTTTCGCTATTTTACCGGCACTTCTGTTTACCCATGCGCAACAGAAAAATAAAAATCAAAACAATCGAATTTTTAGTGTCTTAGGGTTAGACAGGGATGTCCATATGTTCAAATGTGTGGAACAAGGTCCAGCTGCCTTCGGGGTCTTCCATAGGGTTAGTTTAGGTTTAGTTTTATGATCTCATTTAGTATGGCCTCATCGACGGATAATATTACCACATTTTTTTCATTTTTCTTTACTGTACATGGGTAAACGGAAGAACCGGTACCGTCCGTCAACATTTGTTTTATGCACGATAGAGGCTACAGTTTTTATCTGATCTTGATGAAACTTGGTATGTGTGTACATATTGATGAGATCTCGGTCAAGTTCGAAATTGGTAATAATCAGATGAATGTTTTCAGAGTTATTGCCCTTGACTTATTTAAAACGCGTTAGATTTGGCTTGTATGCACGATAAAGGCTGCAATTTTTATCCGATCTTGATGAAACTTAGTATGCATGTATATATTGATGAGATCTCGGTCAAGTTCAAAATTGGTAATAATTAGATGAACTGTTTTACAGTCATTGCCCTAGACTTAGTAAAAACGCGTTAAAATTTGGTTTGTATGCTCAATAAAGGCTGCAATATTTATCCGATCTTGATGAAACTTAGTATGCATATATATATTGATGAGATCTCGGTCAAATTTTGAAATTGGTAATAATCGGAATAACAGTTTCAGAGTTATTGCCCTTGACTTAGTATAAACGAATCAAATTTTGATTGTTGGCACAATAGAGACTACAGTTTTTATCCAACCTACATGAAATAAGTTATGCATGTATATATTGATGAGATCTCACTCGAGTGGAGTTATTGCCGTTGACTTAGTAAAAACTTGTCAAATTGGCTTGCAGGCACGATATGGACTACAGCTTTTATCCAATCTTGGTCAAGTTAGAAATTGGTAATTATGGGATGACAGTTTCCGAGTTATTGCAATTGTGTGTACAGCGATGCGACATTGGTCATGTTTGAATTTGATGATAAGGTTTTTGCCTTGATTTACAGATGTTTTAAATTTAAGATTCTTTGAAAATTCATTATTAAGCCACTAAAGATTTTGTTATTATTTCTGAGAGTTGTTAGTGGGCATATGTTACCTTGCTTGGCAAGCTATTTCATTATTGAATTGGATGATAATTTGATGAAATGTTTTTGAGGTTTTGCCGTGACCTATTAATATTTTAAAGATTTTTTGAAAATTCATAATCAAGCAGCTAAAGATTTTATCATTTCCGACAGCTGGTAATAAGTCTCTCCTATGTATTCTAAAGGTTTCAACTAATAATACCAAGCCATTTTAAAGCCCAACACCAAAACTAGGCCAAACTGCTTAATTAACAATATTATTTAACCCTTTTAATACAAATTGAGTTTGATCAAGAAGATGCATAGATATAAATAACATACTTTGGAATATTTTATGGTATAATTTACAATGTTTTTGATATTGAAAACTTACAAAAAAGTGCAATACCCCATTAAGTTAATCTAACATGAACCCTAGCCATTTCTGATGTGACAGGAAATATTGGTTTTAACTGATGAATATATTTTTAAATGATGAAATCTACTTCTGACACCTCTTATGATAAATAATGAAATGGTGTAGTAGAAACTGATATAGTTTATTTTAGTGTTTAGTAAATTTCTATAAGTAAGAATAATTATCTGATGAAATCTACTTCTGACACCTCTTATGATAAATAATGAAATGGTGTAGTAGAAACTGATATAGTTTATTTTTAATGTCTAGTAAATTTCAGTAAGTAAGAATAATTATATGATGAAATCTACTTCTGACACCTAAATAAGAATAATTATGTGCTGAGGTCAGTTTTCTTCAATTTTCAGATGACATCATCGAAACCCTATTTAAGAAAGAAAGCTGTTTTGATTATGTATAAAGTATTCCTTAAATTTCCTGAAGCTTTACGACCAGCTTTTCCACGATTAAAAGAAAAATTAGAAGATCCAGATCCTGGTTTGTGTTCAATTTCATACTTTTCATTAACACAAAGTCTGTCGCATGATCAATCTCTTCAAACATAGATGATGATTGCAAAATAAAGTACTTTTTGGATGTAGGACACAATTTTCATAGGACACCATTGGATTGTGTGTGATATGATCAAAATAACTGTTTGATGATAAAGAGATTAAAATGACTATCATTATGATGAAATATTGTTTTTTTTTTTCAGGAGCCCAGTCTGCGGCTGTCAATGTCATCTGTGAATTGGCCAGAAAAAATCCTAAAAACTACCTGTCTTTAGCTCCCTTATTCTTTAAACTTATGACCAGTTCCACGAATAATTGGGTTTTAATTAAAATCATCAAATTGGTAAGCATGCAGTTAATATCATACTTAAATTCTAAAACAATTTTATGGTGTGTGGAACCATGCATGTCAGGTAATATGTAAGAATGATAATTTGTGTTGCAATATATATCAACTCATACAATTTCTTTTGAAGCACATACGTCTCCAACCATTTGTTGAACTAGAAGAATTAACTATAACAATTAACAGCTTATTATGTTCTAAAAGCTTACACCTATCACTGTCTTTTCTTAATGTCTTAGATAAATTAATTATTATGGTTTTATTTTTAGTTTGGAGCTTTAACACCATTAGAACCTAGGTTAGGAAAGAAATTAATAGAACCATTAACCAATTTAATACACAGGTAAGTATATTCTGCTGATGGGTTTTTCATGTCTATTAGGTACGCATGTAACATTCTTAGAATCAACTGAGTTGGCAGAACTTTTCATGATTCTTAAAGCAGAATCTTAGATAATGTATCATAATCTTACGTATGATAATTGATATACAAAATGAATTGATATTTTCTACACCAAATTTTTGAAAACATAAGATAGCATTGAAGAAATTGTCAAAACTTACCTAATGTAACTGAAAATTACATTTTATGGACATTTTTTATATATTTTCAGTACATCAGCTATGTCATTGTTATATGAATGTATTAATACTGTGATAGCAGGTAGGATATCTTATTCCTATATATTCCCTTTCCTCAGTCAATATGGAATGTATCTGTTATGGACTGTTTCTGTTTTTATACGCCCACATTATGGTTGTATATTGTCATCGCCCCTGTCAATCCATACACAAATGGCTTGTGAACACAATAGAGACTACAGTTTTTATCCGATTTTTAATGTCTTTGCCCTTGACGTAGGAAATATGCTTCAAGGTTTATTTGTGAACACAATAGAGACTAGGAAATATGCTTCAAAATTTGTTTGTGAACACAATAGAGACTAGAGTTTTTATTTGATATAAATGATGCACTTAAATTATCTAACATGTGGTTTGTGAATGGCGACAGTTTATGTCAGATCAATAATATAATGGACAAATAAGATTTTTTAGAATGATTTGACACAGATTACCAACTGCTCTTGATATACTGAAAGTTCATCAGGGAAGTGGGTGTATCTTTCTAGGTAACCACTTGTTTCAACAAGCTAAACATGTGTCTTCTGATAAATCTTATATAAGCTTACATGTAGTTAATTTCAAAATCATGGTTGATTGTTAGTCTTATCTCCAACTTTTAATTTTTGATGGACTGATATTGTTTCTGAAATGAGAGCTTTTGTCCATGTTTTTGGAAAATCAGAATACAACCTCAACATGAAGATAAATATCACTTGTTCAGCATAGCAATAAGTGACTTCTGTGATATGAGATTCCTATAACTTTTCAGACGTGATTTAATACATCCTAACAGAATTGACTGAAAGTTCCAAGTTAATCTAATTATCATCATCTTCACAATGTCATGCTATAACAAACTTCATCTTATACCTTGACTGCAATATACAAGTAATGGATTGAATGATTTGATTGTACGTTGATGATCAGAGTCCTCGACAGAAAGTCTCTAGACAATGTTACAATGTATAAAGTCTCTGTTAAGGCTATGATTGGCTTTATTTACTGGCATACAAGAAAGGTGGTTATACTGTAATGGCTTCACATTGTTAAGAGGTCTGATAATATGATGACAATGAATCATTTTTATTGATATATTCTGTATCTTACCAACTATTATCACTTTCAAAACAAATGTAATTGTGAAAAACACTGTCATTTTATGTCAAAATGGCTTCAAGTATTTCTAGTAGGTTTTTATAAATGTAGATTATAATGTAGATTCTGGTTAAATTGTATGTATAATTAATATTTGATATGTTATTTCTATCTTAATTACAGTACTCGTTTCTATATCTTCAGGCATCCCCAATCATTCTGCTAGTATACAGGTACATACCATCTTACTATTTATATATCGTTTATTTCCCTTTATTTCTACTCTTCAACTCTCGTACAAAGCTTAATGACATATAAGCTAATATGACAATGATATCAAACAATTCCATAAGCAGGGATTGGCTTCATTATTATGAACATTTCTCACAAGAAATATGATTCTTAATCTGCTGATTTCAATCAAAGTCCAGTCAAGTTCTTGATATTTTTCAGCAAATAATGATTAGATTTGATATCTAGTTCTATAACTCAATACTTATATATTATTAAGAAGGCTGTAGTTATTAATTGATTAACAATCTAATTCAAATATAGGTCTAGGTGTTTGGTTTTATTATTTTCTGTGGCTTTCTTTGCTCAATCTAAATCTAAAGACATTTTTAACAAGGGTAATGTTCAACTAGTCAAATGACTGACAGGTACAATACCTTAATCATTAGTCCATACTTGATTTAAATAAATGATGTCAAATGTTTGAATGAGTGATTAACCCAAAGAAAATGAGTGAAACAAAATATCTAGAGCTGTGTTTCAATCTGATCAACATTGATAAACTATATTATGAGAGTTGAAGATAGAAGAAAGTGAATGAATGAAATTTATTGTTACATTGAAGGTGGTGATGGACTTTTCCCCTCCAAATATTCATTTGTTCAAATTTGGTTTAAACCTTTATATTTACAGTAATGATGTTGAGCAGTGGTGGTGATCTTTAGAATTAATATAAAATTTGCAATGATTAGAAATTATTTCAGAGCACTGAATTATTAGTTTTAGTTATTTGGAGGTGAAGGGTTAAAGGCCTACTTACTGTGCCCATTAAGCTGTAGATTTAGAGAAATGTATAATGTATATGGGGTTGTTGCTTCTTGCCTTATAATACTCTTGCTTTGTAGATGAAAAAGTGCAGACTTCAATTCTTTATAGAGGATTATGCTCATTTAAAACAATGATTACGTGACTTTTTCTGACAAATTAAGCAATTTGACTATGTTACAAATATAAGAATTAAAGAAGGAATTATATTTCTCTAAGATCCTGTCTACCTTCTGATCCTTAGCCATACATCTTTATATTAATCATTGAACGGGAATAATGAGACAATGTTGATCATATATAATGAACTTACAGAAAAAAGAACACAATAAAGAGTAAAGTAGTTGTTGTCTGTGGCTTTATTGTATATGAATGTTATTGCTTACTGACAGCTGTGGTATATGTAATGTCAATATATTGTTATTGATCTACTACCCTTGGTCTGTTTACACATCTGTTTACTTGCAATACCTTGTTATTCCTTCTCAATCAAAAAATAAAAACATTGATAATGATTTCAATCAATATTTGTTAAAAAAAAATTCCTGGGCCATAATTTGTTCTTTAACCCTGCTAGGTTCACAAATCTTCATCTAAAATTAACCTTATATATTAAGCCATGTTCATTTCTACTAACAGATTAGTTGTTGCCATTTAGTTTGTTATGAATTTATGATTATGTAATAACCAAAATTAAGACGTCCCATACTAAAACATTTTGATCCTTAATTGAATGCTCTGTTCCTTGCATTGTTCCTTTATAGCATTTTGATTGCATTTTGCATGGAATAATGATTTCTAACGTTAAATACGTCTCGTAAAAGTGTTATTAAATATTTCAGCTGTGTGTTCAGAAGTTAAGAATATTAATTGAAGATTCAGACCAAAACTGTAAGTTTATTTGCATTTTCTAAGATTCAATAACTTAGTTAGAGTTTACATATCCTTACTTCTAGTAATTTTGTGAAACGTAAAATACAAAAGAAACAACCATATATTGTTAGTTAGGCTCATAGGGATTGTTTCTACCAACTAGTCCTTGGTGAACCTCTTAACAGTAATCTTTCCTAGACTATCCTCACCCATTCACAGCTAGGTCAAATAAAATAATGGACTTGTGTCCAATTCCAATTGATTTTTTTTTGTCAATAAAATATATTTAAATCAACTAAAATAATGAGAAAAGATGATTTAATCAAAGTCATCTTTATTCAAATTCATCAAACTTTCACAGACTGAGTGAGGATGGATATCACAACCATCATTTGTTGATATAACCTAACAAATGATGATGTGTTAAGTTGCCAAAGATATTACTGACTGCTACAGAACCAAACCTCAATCTTGAATTCATTTTCCTGACTATCAATTGAAATGAATGTTTTTTTTTTTCAGTAAAATATCTAGGTTTATTAGCCATGTCACGCATATTAGCAACTCATCCGAAAAGTGTTCAGTCCCATAAAGATCTAATCTTACAATGTTTAGATGATAAAGATGAATCCATTAGAATTAGAGCTTTAGATTTATTATATGGCATGGTAAGTGTATACATAATTTATCTAGGGTAATTTAGGAATGAGACTGCCATATCCATGTATGTATGTGTCAAAGAACTCTTGTCAGTCAGATATTGAACAAAATAATTCTTGCACTTGATTTACTTTTCTCTGAATACCTATGAATGTTTTTGTATATGTGATGATTTATATTCGTAGGTATCAAAGAAGAATTTAATGGAAATAGTCAAAAAATTAATGGTACATATGGATAAAGCTGAAGGTTCACATTATAGAGATGAATTATTATCTAAAATAATTGAAATATGTAGTCAATCTAATTATCAATTTATTACCAATTTTGAATGGTTAGTAATAACACACGACAATGTAATACTATACTGAGAGAAAATATCAAAAGGAAGACAAATATGGACATTATTTGTTACTGATAAAATATGTCCCATTTCAAGTACACTACTGCTAGTAGTCTAAAATTTGTATACACTCAAATAAAATATTATTATAGTTTTTGCCATTCCATCTAAGCATTGTCAACCACTTTGGGTCGGGATTACAATTCCAATTCTGCTCAAAAGCCTGATTAATTTGGAAAATTGGGTTCTAAGCTGCTGATGTTACTTTCTTTAGGTACCTTAAATCATCATATGTAACATTGGTTCATATAAAATATTAAATTCTGTATGTATAGGTATGTTAGTATACTGGTAGAATTAACCAGGATGGAAGGAACAAGACATGGTAAATTAATAGCCTCTCAGATGTTAGATGTAGCTATCAGAGTACAAGCTATACGACATTTTACTGTTACACAGATGGTATGTAGTTATCTAATTCTCTTACTTCCATTTACTTTATCCTTATATAGTGAATTCATCTCATCTCCTGTGATACCATTTAATTATTTTGAAATATCTCTGATGTTGCTTGTTTTTTGTGTTAAGTTGCCGCCATGTGAAAATATGAAATGAAGCATTCAACTTAGTATGACTTCATTGAATCTGTAATTTTACAGGCATTACTGTTAGAGAATTCCCATGCATTAGTAAGTAATTCTCAGAGAAATGGTATATGTGAAGTTTTGTATGCAGCTGCATGGGTTTGTGGAGAATTTGCAGAGTGAGTATTACTTTTACTGCAGTTTCACATTGATCAATAGATAATGTTCCTTAATAATGTCTATGATCAGGAGTCATATTTTATTATCCTTCACATGAAATTTGATAATACAATTACCTTAAGTGCTCTCTGATTTAGCAAATGTTTTAGTAATTATTTATCTGACAGTATACTAACGAGAAGAATTTTTTTTCCATTTGTTTTTAGTAGAAATAATGATCCAGTTAATATTCTGCCCCAAAACAAAATAAAATGCCTGTGAATCATCCCTGTACTTTCATAAATCATTGTTTTGCTATAAAAGTTTTCTTCTCAATTTCAGACATTTATCAGATCCTTTAAATACATTAGAATGTATGTTGCGTCCTAAAATAACCATCTTACCTGGTCATATACAGAGTGTGTATGTACAGAATATGTTAAAATTATATGGTAAAGTTGTGAAGAGAGCTGAAGATGAGGAAAATGAAGAAATGTTAAAGAATGTCAATGAGTTATTATCAGATAAATTACCTATATTTATACAGAGTGCTGATTTAGAAGTCCAAGAGAGAGTATGTATTTCCCAATTAGAGATGTAGAATTTTTTTTGTGTCATTTTGTAATCACAAGTATATACACAATACTGAATTATATAGCAGATACACAGGGTTACCACTTCTTACTTCAATTTCTCTGCTGTTCCCATCAACATGAATAACCCTTCCCATGACAATGGAAATTTATATTCTTTTTGTCTACCCTGAAAGTTGTTGTAAATATGTGTCACAGAGCATCAGAAGGTATATTTAGTGTTATATTCATCTTTCAGGCATGTTGTATATTACAAGTAGCTAAATATGTTGGTAAATTACATGAAAAAGGTGCTAAAATGGGAGATGAATTAGAACAGTTATATGCTGGTGATTTAAACCCGGTAGCTGTGAAAGCTCAGAAAAAAGTTCCAGTTCCTGAAGGGTATGTTTTAACACATTTCCTGAATTAAAATACAAACCTTATCAACTGTGTAATATATATTTTGTCATCTTGTGATGTTCCTGAATTTCATGTTTCAATTTTTTTTTTTTATTAATACCCAATTTTATTTTATTGATACAGGTTAGATTTAGATGAATGGATCAATGCCCCGCCATCAGACAGTGAAGAAGATGAAATACAAGGAGCATCAATATTTACTATGGGTGTATCACAAGAACATAGGGCTATATACCAATATGATGATACACCTAGTAAAAAAACTTATGAACCTACAGAAGAAGAAATAACTAAGGTAATGTTACTACTATAATTGCAAATGAAGGTAATGTATGAGATATGTAAAAAGACATAGACTGTAAGGATAGGATAACAAGATCTATATCAATTTCACAAAAAATTACTGTTGAAATGGTTAGTGAGTTTGATTTAAATCCTAAAATGTGTTTTTTTATTCAAAATGTGTTAATGAGCTCCTCTGCATTATAAAATTATGACAAAGATACAAACAAGTGCCTGTAATTCAACTGAAATTTAGGTTCAATTTAAAATCATAAGAGAGCATAATTTATTGGTTCCAGGGCCTGTGGTGGCCCATTGAGTACAGTGCATTCTCACTATCCATGAAGTCATGGGTTCAATCCCCTGTCTGGAAAAGGTTATTTATTAGAGAAAAGAACAGTTTAAAGATTAATAAAGTGAGGAATATTTTTGTCAAAATACTTTCTTTCAACTTCTAATAAAGTTAACCGATCATCTCAAATCTACCCGAAACTGATTAATTGATTAACCATTGCAACACTTCTAATGATACATGTTATTTGTTCTTTTCAGAGTCGATCAGCAAGAAAAGTAGAACAACTACACAATCCAAATTATTTGAAAGATGATGGCAAATCCAAGGTAAATATTATTAGTTTATATATGGTTGAAATTTGATTTATATGCCCATATTATGATGTGGGTTGGATGCCAGTCTTTTACGGACAATTGGCTTATTAATGTGAAAAAGGCAACTGCTTTGATGAAACTTATTATGCCTTTGTACATTGATGAGATTTTGGATACATTCAATCTTTGTAAACTTTGGATGAACAGTTTTGTATTATTGTAGAGACGTAAGAATGATAGTGTTAAAGTTGATAACATTCCAGTAGCTGAGATCAATCTCTCTGTACCATTACATATACCGGGTATGTTCCTTTATTCATCTTTATCCTGCCACATTACTGAAAAATGTAACCCCATCACCATGTATTTATTCAAACCTCTCATGTATCAAGGATAGCCGCAGTGTCTCAGTGACGTAGGCACTTGCTCGTTTACCTGCATTGGTCAAGATAATACCTTCAGTATTTTTCAACCTGACTCTCCTGTGATGTCCCTTGACAGTTGGGATCGAAAAAAAGTAGGCTTATTCTGTGTTCCTGGCAAAATTTCTATCTTTGCACTCTTCAGAGAATTGACCGTCTTCATTAGCCCAAATCAGCAGCAGGAAAGCAGGATATTAAACTCCCATTCATTTCATTTCTGATTTTGGAGACATAATTACCACTGACAATTCAGAACTAGTAACTAGCTGAGGTATTATTGAAATTGATGAAGTATTATAAAGAGTGGTACATTGTAGGATCTTCCTCTGATAAATATGCACGTCTGTCAGCCTATCAAGATACAGACAGTAAAAATAAACGTAATAAAAAGGGTAAAAAGAAGAAAAGAAAACATGGTGATGAAGAATCAGATCATGATATAGAAGTTCTGCATGCTGTTAGTACAGTAGTAGATATGCCTGAGGTATAAGTCTTTTCTGGTGAAACTGAAACTATTATAGGATTGATCTTAAAGTGCATAAATTTTCTCATTTATCAGTCTTAAAAATTTACCTCAATAAGTTTTAGAATAACTTTCATTTAATTATTGTTGATATATTTAGGAAATAACTATATATTATATTACAGGGTATTCATCTATCTGATAATGATAATGATGATGATAATAGTAATGATTTAAATAAAAAACTAGATATGGACTTAGATCAGTAAGTATATTAGTAACGATCAGAAACTATGTTTCAAACATACATTTGGTACCGGACAAAATGTCTGGCTCAAACTAGATTGTACCGGACAATGTCTGTGTCTGGACGCTTATTTCAAGCCTTGACTAACAAGAGCACTTGTAAAAATATCCTGTTTCTATTTGGTTTGAATCAATTTATATTGATTATAATTGTAGGCCACTACGTGATGACGAAAGACTTCCAGTAAGAACACATCATGTTGTTTTAAATGACTCTCCTAATCAACCACCTGATACAGAAAAAACGAAGAAAAAACATAAGGTTAAAGAAAAAGACAAGAAGAAGGACAAGAAAGATAAGGTATTGAAAATCTAATCAATTGAAAGTTGCCCTGAGAAATTTATTTATTTCACTATAATACTATACTATTAGTTGGTCAAATCTGGCCCTAACCGTTCCTCGGACGTGATGTACGGATGTGATATTGTCATGATTGGGCTAGGCATATAATGGCACTTTTTATGGGAGTTAATCAGACCCACTTTTAGATCACTAAAGAGTCCGGTTGTTAGACCCTAGACTGAAATGCCTGTCTAATATTAATTGGACTGCAAGTAGAATATTAAGACCAGATTTGTCGGGCTACTATACTATATGCTGAAAGAACTACAGAAGAACTTTTTGTGTATACCCAAAATATCTGATTGCTTTTAATTTATTTTGTACACAATCTGACAATCCATTTTATTATCATAGAAAGACAAAGACAAGAAAAAAGAGAAAAAGAAATCAAAAAGCAATAACCATGAAATGCCCAGTCTTTTACTTGCCACACCTTTAAATGGTGGAGATAATATAGAGAAAGGTGAAGAGGTCAAAGTTAAAGAGGTTAATAATGTTGATAGTTTATCTGTGATCCAAAATACAAAACCAACAAACAAGGTGAGAAACAAAAGAGTTCCTTAATCCATGTTTTATCAAACCAGGGACACATTTTGAAATCCAAAACAAAGATCCTGAAAATGTGCAGTTTTCTAAATAGAAATATAAATGTGAATTATGTAGCAAATCACAATTATTATGATTAGACAGACAATATGTCTTAACACTGCAAGAATTACTTGACAACAACAACAATGCCGCTGATAGGAAATGAATAGGATATGAATATGATTGTTATATTATGTAGAATGATGATATAGAATTCTGGTTGTCAGAGAGTGCTGACACTACTCCTTCCCCTTCCACAGCCAATACAACTATAACTAATACAATATCTACAACTCTTACTAAAACTAATGGTGATATACAAAACATAGTTTTATCAACTGATGAAGATGATAAAACCGAGGAAGTAAGTTGTGTTGAAAGATTTTTGGAAATTTTTTTATTGGAAATGTGCAATATGATAGGTTGATTTATTAAGATCAGCTATACCTTACAGAGCAAGATAATGGGAACAGATGGAACTTGGTAGAAGCTGTTCATATATGGATCAAGCCATTTGTAGCTGATGGAGTAGCTATTAATTTTGAAAGAGTTAGTGTTATATACTAAAAAAGAAATCTCTTATGTTTACAGAAAACAAAAAAGAAGAAAGAAAAGAAGAAAAAGGAAAAGAAAAAGAAGGAAAAGAAAGAAAAGTTAAAAAGAAGTGAATATGAAGTAGCTGAAGGAATAACGACACCTTCTAAAGAAAATATTTCAGTGTCTCAACAACCCACTCCTCTTGATGTACAACTACCTGTAAGTTATATAATAATATGTGCTTGTTATAAAGACTAATGAATGACACAATGGCAGCTGTAATGTAGTGTAAACTCATTAAATCTTGTATGAGAATTTTTGTAAGAAACTATGACCTGCAAGAAACATATGTATAAGATAATATATTGTTTTGATATGAACTATGTTAATTTTAATGGTATTTTATTCCAGCCAATGTCCAGTTATCAGTTACTAGCTGAAAATACAACATTAAAAATGGTAAGATGTTGTATACATTCATTACAAAATCAAAGTGTTCAATATAAAATACATAAAGATCTTATACTTATTTTGATCTTGTTGGGTTTAACTTGTAGTTGACATTCGGGTTCATTCAATACAAAATAAAACTACCTGTCCTAAACATTCAAACATTGCCCAGAAAAACCTAGTAGTATTAATGAAACATATTGATACCAACTGATACCCTAGCTTACATTATCTAAGTTGAATTATTCAATGTTTTATTGTAGACATGTGAAGTACGTGCTACTAATCAGAGAAGTGATCAAATTATTGTATCTATAGTGTTTACTAATTTATCCCAAAATAACATCAAAGATTTAGAATTTAATGTGTTAGATACTCTTAATACCAAATTAATCCGTGGGGTAAGTCAATTGAACTTATGGTGATCTATTATATAGTCATCAAATGCAAAACTCCTGTAAAATATTGATACTTTGTTCATCTGAATTTGTCTTTAACCCCCCAAAAAATAGCTTAAATGTAAAGGTTTATAAGATTAATGCAATAAACTTGATTGATAATAAAAGTTTTAACATATGTTATTATATTTTTCAGCTTGGTCATAATAACCAATCAGATGCAGTTAAAGTACCATTTAATATATTACCAGAAAGTCAAAATGAAGGACAATTTGCGTTTTCTGTAGAAAATATCACTATGCCTCAAAAATTACGCGGAACGTTAACTTACATTGTGAAGGTAACCTCACTTACTTTTTTCATGGTCTTACATTCTGAAATGGTTTAGTTGATAATCACTGTAGTCAATGAAATGAGTTTAGAAAACCAGGAGCAAGTTATGCAGTTGTAGCCTATTCCAAATTGAAGACTTTATTTGTTTATTCTCCTTTATGTAATGTTTTTATTATTTCAGAGTGCTGATGGATCCAGTCATGATAAAATAGATTTTAAATTATCATTACCTTGTTCTTCTTATCTAGTTACAACTCCTTGCAAAAGGTAAATATTTTAAGTTATTTCTATTCATGTTTATAGAGAAGATATCACAGATCCTGAAATCTCTTCACATCTACTACACAATCCAGATCAGGAAATGTGACTAGAGAGTGGCAAATAAAAAGATCTGCCTTAGCATTGTCATCAGTATATTATATATCAATATATTAATTATTACAGTGCTGACTTTACAACATTATTATCTAGTGGAGATTTAACAGCCAAATCATCTCTACAGCTAACACCAACTGATTCCATATTACATATTTCATTAACCAAACTCTGTTTCTTCTTACATTTTCGAGGTAAGTAAGCTATTGAATATGTTTACCATATTATCATTGTCCACGAAAGCTTTACTGCCAATCCCAGTCACAATATTATGTCTGGGATATAACATTCTAGAAAAGGTTTGATTTTTGTAATCTATTTTAAGTTATGTATAAGCCTATGAATTATTTATTTGATTATTTTAGTGATTGAACAAGTAGATAATAGTGCATCATTATATAGTAGATCCATTCAAGGTCACCCTGTTTGTGTACTAGTCAAAAAGGTAATATGGTTTTGATATCTTAGAATAATTTTGTCTTGTACTTGACATTTCAAACAAAATACAAGACAAACAAAATTCCTGTGGTTTTTTTTTATTAAACAGTATTTTGTTCACTTAAGGAATGGAAAACAGGCCTATAGAGACTACAGTTTTCATCTGATTCGAATGAAATTTGGTGTGATCATTTATGTTGATGAGATCTTGGACAAGTTCCATATTCACGATTTTTCGATGAACGGTTTTTATACGCCCACATATCTCTATGTGGACGTATATTGTCAGTACCCCTGTCCGTCCGTCAGTCAGTCAACATTTGCTTGTAAACGCTCTAAAAACTAGATTTTTTGATGGAATCAAATAGAATTGGTATGTGTATACATATTCATAAAACGAAGATCAAGTTCGAATTTGAGCTATTTTCGACCGTTAGAAGCAGAATTATTGCCCTTGCTCCAAAATCTTGAATATGCTATTACTCTCTTAGTTTTCAACCGATTTTGATGAAACTTAAAATGGATGTTGTTGGACCTAAATGGAAAGGTTTGAGAAAGTTTAGTTTAGATTAAATTTAAGGCTTTTTTCAAGATTTAGGCCTCTTACATCAGTTTTGAGGAGTTATCGCCCTTTCAAATATCTCGAAAGTGATATTTACACAGTATGGTTGTCCAGCTTATATCACTGTATATTATTCTTTCAGGTGAATGATTCACTCAAAATAGATGGTAAAAGTACCGACAATACATTCTTATCTAATGTATTAGATGATGTACGTAATTTATTAACAGCAGAATCCTAACATTATTTAAATATTACCAGATGATAGAGATGTCACCATATTCTACTGTCCACATTTTACCATAAACAATTTTCTTTTTAAAACAATGTCTGATATTTGACTGAAATAAGACCCACTGTAAACAAAAATATGCCAGTGTAAACTAAACTCTTATTGTTTTTGTTGTTTAATTTAATTTCTCTGATCAATTTTTAAGTGTTTTCAACCATCAGCTTCATTTTGTATTGATTTAAATATAGAGTTTTGTTCCTTTACTTTTTACATTGACAATTAAGAAACTTTGTAAAATTTTGGTGAGAATAACCCTCTACATAAATATTGTCCATGTTTATATTTTAATCACTGGAAAGCCATTGTAAGACTGCATGACTATTTTAACCTGATATTCCAATTCACATTAAGTTAATCATTAAAATTCAATTAACAATTCAAAGTGTGATGACGTGTGTAATATGATAATGATTATGTGTGTGAATAAATATGATACATCTCTATTGTATGGTTTATTGTACATATATATTTATAGAACATTTATTATTGAAATTGTGATAAAAATGGAATTATTAGTATGGTGAAATCAATTATAGGCCTATACTATTCATGGTTGCAAAAATATATCATCACTCAATAATTTGTTTTTTTCATGCAATTTTTTTGTCATCTACGTAATGCAAACGTTTTTGAAAAGATGATCATATTTCAAAATATAGGAATAACATTGTATAAGGTGCATTATATTGATATAACTTGTTAAGTTTTTGTTTTTTATTTATTATTGTATATAATTTAACACAAATATAAAATCCCTAATAGTCTTAACAATCAAACAGTTATGGAAAGGTATGGTGTAATGTAGATAGGAAGTATCAGAAGCTGATAAATACTGCTCATATTATTGACTCTAGCCCTTCTCACAGCAATGTCAAAAACCTTTTCGACTAACAGTATGTCTTAACTAAATATTTAAGACTTTGTATATTGAGAAATTACCCGATATATTTCTTATACACAAACCCATGTCAAATTTTAGAATGTCACAACGATATGTACTGTCTTATTTTAAATGAAATGGACATAAACTTTCATAACCAGACATTTCAAAAAGAATTGATTAGTGCAAATGAACTTTAACATTCAGTTTGTAGGTGTGAAATTTTTAGTACTTTAGTCAAGAAAACTCTGTCTTAAAGTTTGATATGCATAAAATATACAATATTGGTTTGCATGGTCAAAATTTGTTACATTTTTTTTTTTTTTCAATGAAAGTTTGGATCTTTGTACTTGTCAGTGTTGATTACATCTTTCTTGGATCCTAATTTCATGGATTTACTCGAATTAATTACTATATTATGTATAATGAAGATTGTTAATGATTTGTTCTTGTATTTATAATAAGGCTGTAAATTGATGATATGATTAGAGAATGTTTATTTCAAATCCAATCCCTGTGTATGTAAGAAATGTATTTTAAAAACAATATACTATTATGAACGCTGTTGACTTTTAGATATTTTCAATGAAAACTTACCCAATGCATATAATCTAGATTCGGAAGCCACAATAGAAGTGTATATTCTTCCAAGTTATGATCTTGAATGTATAGAATTGATTAATAGAATGTAATCTGGGCAGGGCCTTTCGTTCAACAAGGGATATCAGTAAAAATACACAAATGAAAATTGAATTCTTATCATAAAGGGAAGGAATACAACACAAATGTATGATTAATCATTTGTTGACAATGAAGAAATAATATAAAGAAGATAACATTAAATTCCTTCATCAACATTCCACACACACGCACCTTTCTACCTTATTCATTATCCATTTACATCATACCTCAAAATACACACTATATAATTTGAGAATATCCCAGCCAGATTCTCATTGAAACACACTAGGATTCTGTAAACTAATAGAACCTTATATTAAATCTGGACTTAAAAGGGACATATGCACCATTTTTCTACCAAAATACTTTAGTCTCAGAAATGGGAATAGTCGAAATTTGAGCATTCAAATCCATGTGTCAAGATTTATCTGTGCTTGAAAGTGAAAAACATGAGTTGTCTTTTCATGAGACACTGCCATACATAGATGACATCTATAGAAATAGGAAAAGGCATTCTAAGTTAGAGATATTTTTGAAGGAATTAGGCATTTTTCGTACATCTCTAGTACTTCTGAAGCCTGTTAACTTCATTAAAGACTAGAATCATCCCACCAAAATGGCCCATAATTCAGGAGTGGCCTACATGTACCAGTAGAATGGTTTTTGGTGAATCTTCAAATTGCTGTACACAGTCTGGATCTCTGATTCCTTACAACCCATACTTACTTTCAGTAAAAGGGAAAATTTTATCTTAAACACAGGTCCTTGAAAATGTGTATGGATATACCAGTCTGCCCCTTTTGCGACTATGTCTTCGTTATGTCCTTATGATATGATCTGTACATGGATTTTGCAATTAGCCTAAAACTTGTGGGAGTCATACACCTATACTACTTAACCAATGGAGTGCTACCTCCATCATCTTCAATACATTTCTGAGATTTATATTTTCGAACTTCAGCTAAATATTTCGACCATGCATCAGAGTTTGTGTCCTCCTGGAATGAGAAAATCAACATAATATGAAACTGTAACAGATCGATTTTATACGCCCACATCTCTCTATGTGGACGTATATTGTCGGCACCCCAGTCCATCCGTTGGTCAACATTTGCTTGTAAACGCTCTAAAAACTAGATTTGTTGATGGAATCAAATGAAATCTGGTATGTGTATACATATTCATAAAACGAAGATCAAGTTGAATTTGAGCTATTTTCAACCGTTAAGAGTTATTGCCCTTGCCCCAAAATCTTGAATATGCTATTACTCTCTTAGTTTTCAACCGATTTTGATGAAACTTAAAATGGATGTTATTGGACCTAAATCGAAAGGTTTTAGACAGTTTAGTTTATTCTGATTAAATTTAAGACTTTTTCAAGATTTAGGCCTCTTACGTCAGTTTTGAGGAGTTATCGCCCTTTAACCTCTATACTGTAAGTGCTTCTATCAACATCAATTGCAAATAAACACTCTAAAAACTAGAGTGTTTGATGGAATCAAATAAAATTCGGTATTTCCATACATATTCATGAAACGAAGGTCCGTCGGTCTGTCGGTCCGTCAACATTTGCTTGTAAACGCTCTATAAACTAGATTTTTTTATGAAATCAAATGAAATTCGGTATGTGTATACGTATTCATAAAATGAAGATCAAGTTATTTTCGAAGCAGAGTTATTGCCCTTGCCCCAAAATCTTGAATATTTACCATCCGCATGCCGTGGTGGGCGTATATGGCTGTGGTCCACTATCTTTATGGCATGGAATTCTGTCAGAATGAATATGAATTATATTAAGTTTTTTACCTCTTCTTCTTCGTCTTTGACCTTTTTAGCTACAACACCAGTTTTTAACATTTTCGGGCCTTTCCTTCGCCCCACCTATAGATAGAAGATCTTACAACATGAGTATAAAATTGTGTTGACTTCAAAAAAGCCTACAGCCTACAAATTTTTAGCCTCAAAATACTTCAGTTTTAGTAGCTTACATACCAGGTTTGGAATCATAATTGAACTCTTCCAGAATAAGCTTAGTTAATATAAATACAATACCGGCATATTTTATAATTTACAATACCGGTTATAGAATATTGTCACTCTTAAAAGGGTGCTGAATACATCAATTGTAGAGCGATATAGAAATATTAAATCAGAACTTGAATCATGTTGTTGTTGTTTTACGTTATGTGATGCTTTATGTCTAAAGATCGCATAGCGTGAAACTCTTAAGAAACAACATGATTCAAATTATGTTTTAATGTTTCTTTTTTAATTATTTATATAGTGGGAGTGACATATTGGTATACTGTTGTGAGCCTATCTGGCTATAGTTATATTTTCATACGCACTGTATTGAATAATTTAATTCTAACTACTCCTTACAAGTGGTAAGTTAAAAGATGAGCCTGACTTTGGGCTTGTTTTCTCTTTCTCTTTGGTTTCAACAGGTCGTTTAACACCTTTGCTTTCTTTATTCATTTGTTCCTCATTGACTTTTTTCCTAAACATTGCCATAAAACTACCATCATTTGCAAATGCATTTGAACAAGGTGCAGCACCAGCAGCACCCACAGTGCTGGTAGAATCTTTTACATGTGAAGAAGATATAACGTCAGTTGTCTTGTGGGGAATTGCAACACTGTAAGAGTAAAGATCATCAGCAGAATTTATCGATGGGTGGTGGGGGATATCTGACTCTGAAGTTGATGATTGAGTTGGTAAAATGGAATGTTTATATTTGGAACTTGTAGATCTATTCATATCTTGATGTGTAATGTCTTTCCTGCTATTAATATTGGCGTGGGGATGTTTAGTTTCTAAATTGGCACTTTCCGTATGTCTTATCTCGCTTGTATCAGATTTCGATGTTGAATTATCAAATTTTTGTAAATTATTTACAGAATCCTTGTTTCTGTCAGACATCTTGTTTTGTCATTTTCATCCAGACGCAATACCTTTTAGAATTATTTACATTAGAAATACGAGACTACAAAATGATCTACCTATTTACATGTGAAATGGAACTCTTTACATTATGACTGTCAGTAGTAAATGGAAATCTCAGTTAAAAATTTGTTAATTTTCCTCTTAAATATACTTACTGACCCAAATTTCGCACTTAAACCTAATTCAATTTCTATGGAAACGTCTTAGTAGTGAATATAGTTTTTCGTACGAGATTTGCTGTGTGAATAGCTATAGTTTATATCAACTCACACAGTTTGTAACAAACATTCTTATAGGCTGGTCTAAAAATACCAACGAATGAAAACAAAATTTGCAAAATACATCGCAAACGAAAGTAAGGTTAAGGAACGACTGATTTTTCTTGACGATAACTAAGAAAGCAAAAACGAAAAATGTCAGGAAAAGGTGTAGGTTATATCAGATTACTATGGACTAATTTTAGAACATCTTTACAGACGATTGCTAGAACTAAAGAAGTATTTATTGGAAAGGATCATATTGGTAATTTGTATTATGAAAAACATACCGGTACTCGTCATGGTAAGATACTTATTAGTAAATTAGTAAATTACTCTTACAAACATCACTGATACGACTCATCTTCCAAGTAACTTGGTGACTTTGATTGGTAGAAATAAAACCAGATTTTGGCCTATTTAGGCCTACTCATTACCAAATTACATCAGAAAATTGTCACAACTATAGTATTCATGGTGTTTTCTGTTTATTTGTAATTTCTTTTATTTCAAGCAGAGAAATTGAAGCGTCCTGCTAGATATATAAAAGATGTGAACCCTAAGAGTATAGCTGAGCTTGAAGCACCACTTATCCCTAAAGAATGGGAAGGTATGTCAGATCATTGTTTTAATATTAAAGAAAAATGCTAAAAATGTCTGGTCAAGACATGTTTAAAATACTTTACAAAAATGAATAAATTCTCTCATTTTGTCATTATCCTTTAATATAACAGCTGTATTTACAGCAAAATTCCTATTCTGTCTCTCCTTTAAGTCATTGATAAAAGAAATATAAACTTAGTCTGAAATAGATTGTCATCAGGCTATTTTAACAATAAACTATGCCTCATGTATTTTAGCCTGGTTGAGACACAAACGAAAAGATCCACCAACTGATAAGGTATGGTACATCTTCTTTACTGTAGATATAAGATGAAGGAATGCATGTACTTGCAATGGAAATTTTGAAATATGAGCTGTCAATAGTGATGGACAATAGGATGAAAATAATAATCGATTAATCGAAATAATCGGAGAGGCATAATTGATTATGTAATCGATTAATAATCAAAATACACCCCATTTAATGAACATGTATTTGTTTTAAGGCTTTATAAATCATGCCTCATTTGTTCCTGTGCCAAATCTAAGGCTAGTCCTCGAGAAAAAAATAATCAAAGGTGTGACAAATTATCAGGTTCTAATTTAGTCGCCTAATCTTATAATAAGTTAAGTTAAATTTAATTATCAGAAATTTTATATTATCAACTAAAAACATCATGACTGACTTTTTATATGATTTGCCAACGTCGCCGACTTTGAGTTGAGAATCGATTAGTAACATTGCTGGACTTTCAACGACTGTATAATCGATTGTAGCCGACAATCGGAACATCACTAGCTGTCAAGATAGGGAAATTTATGAGACACCATTTCAGATTTATTTTAGAGAATAGGGTGATTGAAATGAACAAGGTCCTCAAAAAATACCTAGTAAAATTTTATGTCAGGCATGATTTTGTGTTATCTACTTCAATTTTACCACGTGAAGATGTATCTTTCTTTCTTAAAGGAATTAGAAGAAAATTATGTATATTTATTAAGGACACAAATGAGATCTGAAGAACTAGAGGAAAAATCATTGGTAATTATGTACCTTATATATAGTAGATTTTGTATTCTTGTTTATGCACTCAGATTTCATGGATCATTAAAATCTCATGGTGGGTGTTGGATGCACTATTTGAATTTCCTAAATCTCTGAATGTGTCAAAGTGTCGCAGTGTTGTCGACCTGTATTTAATGGTTGAATGTTCTTATGATTATTTAATTCTTATTTCCAAATTCCAAGCACTTAACCTTAGACCCTCTTGTTAAGCATCAGCATAACTCTTTCAGACTTATTTTGAAGACAATAGTTGACTGAGTCAAAAAAGGGGGACAACTCATTTATATATGCAAACAATCTTGACTTAAAGTGGCTGTTATGAGCATCAGAAGACTACAATTTACTTATTCTTTGGCAACTGACCATAAAGTTCAATGATGTTTAGTATTTTAGTTTATTTTTATTTAGAAAAGTGGAGAATATAAACAAGATGAACAATTTGATACAAAAGAAAAATCAAGTAAGATTTGAAATATGTTATACCTGCACCTGATATTTTTTATATTGATATTGTGAACATGTATATTATCATAGTAAGATATGGAATAGCCTTTTTTTGAAGTATATTATATTGTTTGTTATATTATATTTTTCAACATATCATTTTTTAAATTTGAATTATTTACAGCTGAATTTCCTAGATACTCAGATTTAGAAAGAAAGCCTGGTTTAAAGAGGAATCCAGATGAAGATGGTAAAGGATGACACAGGATATTTTAAGCAATCTGTGCCTTTGTTGAGTGTTAGTTTTTATATCTCTCTTTTGGAATAAATGCATAAAATATCTATACCATAGTCATTTGCTGAAATTTTCTCTCTGTTTTGTCAGATTAGCATTGATTGTAACTATGTTGTGCCTGGTTGATGTACAATGTAGACAATTACTGAAGACATTAGTTGCAATTTATTGGTCTTCTACTCTCTTAAAATGTTACCGACATGTAATTGACATTTCAGAATTCTAGTAAATGTATATCCATATATCTTGTGCTTCTTTACCTATGATACTTGCATGAGGAAATGTAAAAGGGGCAGTCTGATTGAAAAAGTTATGTGCATAAATTAATGACTATAGACCAAAATCTAGAGAATATTATCCATAGGGTTATTTGAAGGTTTTAACTAAAGGTATCTTGCCGTTTATTTACAGAGCGCAAATTGTAGAGATATCACCCTCAATTTTTTTGGAGCTGTTATTATAGATTGAAAAAGAAATTTTTTTTTTAGAAGTTTATGTTTTATTCATTCATAGACCTGTTTGAATTCTCAAAAATGTTCATAACTCTGATTGTTAAATAAATGATTAAATCCCTACGATTATGGGAGGAGGTGCAGTGATGCCCCCAACCCCCCACCCCCCACCATTCTCAAAATTGAGACTTGCCCCCCCTCTTATATTCAAATTTCTTATCATATAAATTGACAATGGCCCTCTATTGATAATTCTGTGGTTCCCATTAGTGATGAGTGACTATCTCGCTTTTATGCATTTGGTAGTTATTAATAAACTTCAAATACCTGTGATTTTAATTACTTAATATCAATGTTATTCAAAAATCAAAGTTTACATTTAAAACTATAATATCTATATTATGTGGACTGTTCTCTTAAATAAAAATAAATCTAGATGAACAAAGGTCATGAAGAAATAACTTGGCAACTGTTAAATGGAGTAGCTTTTTTCTCAATTTTCTATACATTAAAATCGATTTCCATTTCTCACGATTTAAATTTTGTTACGACCTAGTGAATATGTGAAATTATTAGACAGGAGATAAAAAAAATAGTGGAACAGATCATCGTTGTAACAGCTAATCGATATCTGATAAACCGTAAATTTGATGGTATCGTCTCATCTTCAACATTACCATGCTGAGTTTCTATGGGGTCATTGTACTTATTACAGAAAATAATAACTATACAAAACTGTAGACCATGTGGTTGTTGCTTTAGTTTTCTTTAAGATGGAATATGATGACCGATATTATTTGTAATAATACAATAAAGGTTATATAAACCAGACCGGGATAAAGTTGATCTGAATCTTTTATTTCCTTACCATCATTTTATTTTATACGTATTTACACATACACGTTAGGTTCAAAATTTCATTGGAGCACAAATCATCAGTTGCGTGGTGGCTCCGAATCGGCTGTAAGGACAGAAATCGTTTTGGCGCCCCCTATACAGCTGCGCCTTTTGTACAATCCGATATATATATACAACTTTTAAGCACGTGATAGTCAATAATGCAAAACTCGAAAAATAACGTCTACTACTACTTGTAGCTGAATTAATTATCAATAAGAGCATAGAATCAGAATATCGCTCAGTTCAGTGTTCTAGCTCCGTTGAGAATCGAGGATGTGTTTAGACACTATGGACCAAGAACTAAAGATCTGAACTGCAAAACAACATATTGGCGAAACATCAGAAGCAGATAATGAATTTTTCACATGTAGAAGTACATCAATCATAAGTGAGGAAGTATTTCAGAATGAAAAGTGGTATCAGGTGTCTAAAAGTGTAAGCTTTTGAGCATACCCCGTATGGCGCCACACCCGCCGCGGCTGCTTAGGAAGTATTAGAGATTTGACTAGTTTCAGGGCAGAATAGATTTGTCATCAATCGAGCTTCTTTGTAACCAGTCGACATATCTGTGTGTTCAGGGTCTTCATCGATTTCAATACTTTCAACTTCATCTGCACCAAGATGTTGGCCAATTTGACAAATTTCTGTTTTATCTTTGGAAATGCTCCTGCAAACCTCAAAAGTTCTGCAGCACAGCTTAACAAATTCATTATTCGGACAAAAATTTTCCGGCTATGGCCATGATCATAACCTTCAAAATGTAATTTCGAGACACGAGGCATCCAATAGAATATATCGTAATTAGCACCTTAAAATGAATTTAGCTTCCCAAATCATTTTATAACATTTTGAATATCCAAAATCATAATAAAAGAGGGGGGGGGGGGGGGGGGGGGGGGGGGCTTAAAAATTGCGACTTTTGTGG